TGCTCCAACCATGTTTGACCAAGGCTGGGCTGTTGTTGCTTTTGGCTGTTGAGCTGTTGAGCTGTTGGGCCGTTGTCTGTTGGTGGTTTGTTGGGCTCTTGCTTTTGCTGGGCTGTTGGGCTCCAAGCGTGAGAACTCCTAGCCGCGGTCAGCCTCGCCCTTCCAAGAAAACCACACCTAGGTCCTGTAGAAAGGTTAGAATAAGGGTACCAACCTTTTCTTTTTTGTCTATTTTAGTAGGCAAACCCTCCCAACCAAAAAAGAAACGGCAAAAGGGGCACCGATCGCTGGGGCACCTAGACATGCCAGCCACTTGGGCGGCCGTGCGCTCGAGCGGCACCCGGATCACGGTATCGCAGCCCCCGGCGAGCATCGCCCAGTAGTCCTCACGTCCGGACGCAAAACCGAGTGCTTCTGGTCATTGGGGCTCCGAAACGCCCCAAAATTGAGATGTGGGCATGAAATTGAATTGGGGACCCTTTGGTGGACGTGATTTAGGTGGAAACAGGCTGGCAAAAAACCTGGTACGTTTTGTGCTTTTCTTGCTGTTTGCTGCTAGGCTGTGATGCGTCGAGTTGCGGTTGTGAGCAGGGCTGGAGAAGGGGGACGAGGGGCGCAGGAGGGTGGGGGAGGGGGGGTGGGGGAGGAGGGGTGGGGGAGGGGAGGTGGGGCATGTTACCGTCGTTGTGAAAGGCTTGCACGCACACGAAGACATGAGTGCACACAGGTTGATGCATGGCCAATGTTGGTTGCAAATGCTGGCAACATCTGGAGAGCCACCATGTCCATCCCAGCAAACATGAATTTGCTAGGACGATGTGAGCACGCAAACGACCGCTTGCTTCATAGTGGGGCAAGACGATATACCAACTCAGCTGCACTCTGTGTTTCGCTACATGCGTCGCTTCTTTGTCAAGTATCAGCTTCAAGAAGGATTTCCACCGTGCGTTGGCTGCAGTTTGTTGATTCGGATTTTCGAGCAACTGAACTGCAACTATGCAAAAAGCATTGGGTTTTTGACAATACTTGCTTAAAAACAATGCTGTCCTACTTTTCCCGTTCACCGCCAGGCATGAGCCAGAAATGACAAATTGCAGAAAAGCCAGAAAAAAGCGTGTGACACAGCTTTCGCCTCCAGGTTTTTTTAGCAGCCTGTGACCATTTAAGTGGGGATTCTTGTCCACCAACCACTTTCGATATGCTTCCCTATTAAAATTCATAGCCACATACGATTCGAGCCACGCGCGGCCATGCCACGGATTGACTATACTTCTACTGATGCTTCTTCCTCTTCTCCTCCGTCCAAGTAACTCCACCAGTCGACAGTCGACATGACTGCTCCAACTGAGCTGCCCCCGCCTCAGCAAACCATGTGTTGCCAAAAATGGGGAACCAACCAAACATTTACCCTCCTGCCCACCACGGAACAACGGCCGTTTCGGGATCCTGGCTTGCACCATCCTTTCAAGCAGACCCTCTGGGTTCCATGTTGGCCAGGCCCAACAGCAGTCGTCTTTTTCGGTCGCAACAGGCCTCTGTGCCGTTGATCATCCCAGGGTCTCGGACCTAAGCGGCCCAGGTCTCATCACAGAGAACCCCGACAAAACCGTGCGGATGGTCGCGAAATCCAAAGACGTCGCGCCACTGTGAAGCCAAAACGCTGGTTGGTGTTTTACAATGAAAATCCATCATTCTAGGGATTTATAGGTGCGGGATTGGGCTCATCCGCAGTAACTCAGTATGGGTATGTGTTTTTTAGGGGACTCCCAAAATTTGGTTTCTCAGTAAACCATCCTCAAAAGGGTGCCACCAGAAAACACACACAATCATTGGAAATGAAGCGAAAGTGGGGCCTCCATATGAGCTGCCCTCCAACAAAAAGGCGCGCGTGAGGGACACCAAATCGCCCCCAAATCGCCGGCCCCAAATCGAGGAACGAGAATCCCTGGCCCACTGGAAACAGCAGCCCTAAAAATTGGGATCCCGTCCAAGCGCCATCCCTGGAAGGGATGGAACACTGGCTACGCTAGCATGAAAGTAGGCAGGAGCTCGGAAGACTGTGACTCTCTTGAAAAGGCAATTCGTTTGGATGCTTTCCAAAAAGCCTGAAGTGCGGGTGCAGTCTAAAACCACATGCTAGGTGCAAGGAGTGGCCTTGAACACACACACGTCACGCTTCCTGCTCCAAGGGCCCGTGGCATTTCGTGGCAAACTCTGGGAGCCTCGCTGACAAGCCGGTCACATCCACGGTCTCATTACAGTTTCCTGGCGCAGAACGTGCCGTCGCAGGCGAGGACAGGGCTGACTTGATGACTTGCCTCCCCGTGATTTCTCCATCGAAAGGGGGAATACTTCCAAAGCCACCTTCTAGGGAGCAGGGTACTTAAGCGAGGAGTTTCCGTGGGTTTTTCACATAGGGAACTTCCAACAATGGCGAGTGGGAGTCATATTACCATGGTTACGAATGACTTCCCAAGTTCCCCGCTGCCCCCGCTGCCTTAGCACCTGGGTATGGCTCAAAATTAAACCACCAGGAATTGGACCGCAGGTCCGACAGGGATCCTTACATTCTACTCCTGAACATTGCCTTGTAAATGGTGGTGTCCCTTCATTTCGGTGGAAGAGTGCCATGTTTCACATGGGCAAAGTGTATCTTTTAAGGAGCCCTGCTGGAGCTACGTCCAGTTTTGGACCCACCACAGCCGCCAGCTTTTTCTCCCTCACCAGGTTGACAGGGTAAAGGCCACCAGCTTTCCGTGGAGTTCTGGTTGCGGACGAACCGGCTCCGGTCGCAAGGCGCTCCCTGGAGATCTGTCAAAAGGATGCTTGGCTTGGTCTCCAAAACCACCCCGGATCGTTGTGAAAGGAAACCCGGCTTTCAAAACCGTTCCATCATATTCCTCACTGGTGAATAACCATGACAATCATTCACCCGCCAGGAATAAGGGAACCCTATATATGAAAAAACTGCCTTCGCCCTGGAACCAAAACCCTTGAGGCTCCGGCTTAAGCGGTTTGAGTCTCAAAGCAAAGCTGAGCCCACCCAGGCCCTGGTCTAAGTATGGCGGTCCTCTCACATATGTGACAGCCGAGTACACAACAAAAGCACCCGCAAAGCGCAAGGAACACGATGCTTCCAACACAAAACTACGCCCCACATCCCAAAACAAAGAGAAAAGAGCAAGAGCAACGTGAGCAACCCACAAAACAGCTTGCAAAATCCTCTATATATTTTTAATTAAACTGCCGCCCCAGGCTTCTCACCCCCCCTTTCTCCGGCCGTAGAGTGGCCCTGCTGGGATGCTCTTCAGCGCCTGCCAATCTCGGGGCCCAAACTTGGCACTAAGCACTTCCAGTTGCTTAAGCCCCCTGCCAACAAGCATAGATCCCCCTACGAGGCGCTATCTCGGGGCGCTAACTTGGAACTAAGTACTTCCATTTGCAAAATAAACATTTGTCCAGTAGTGATCGATCCCCTTTAAAGCCAACAAAGGGGGAACAAAAAACAACTGAAGCAAATGAAAGAGTATAGGACTGAATTTCTAGAATATTGGCTAAGGAAATAGAACTGCCGAATGAACTGGCCGACTGGGCGCTGCTAGAATTACCCACTCCACCCTTGTCCTGCCCAAGGATTTGGTTTGGGTTTAGGGTTTGGGTTTAGGGTTTTGGGTTTAGGGTTCAGGCTTGGGGTTTAGGTTTAGGGTGTGGGTTTAGCAGGGATCCTTACATTATACAGTTACACCTGAACATTGCCTTGTAAATTGTGGTATCCGCCATGTTTCAAATGGGAAAAAATGTATCTTTTAAGGAGCCCTGTTTAGGGTTTAGGTTTAGGTTGCGGGTGTAGGTTTAGGGTTTAGGTTCAGGATTTGGTTTACGATTCAGTCCAGGATTGAGCTCGAGGGTTAAGTTTAAGGTCTATTTAATTACGTGCCCCTCTGCAGGCTAGCTGCTATTACATGTCTTAGGAGCTCTCAAGAAGTGTTGGCTAGCTTTGTCCAATCGGCACTTCGCGGTGTCTGCCTTTCGATGAGCGGCAAGTGCTTCAGGCGGATTCGGTCTTTAAGTTCGGGCGTCGGGGCGTTCCTTTTGGGCGTAGGCAACCCTCAGGGGCTGGCCGTAGAATTAGCGGGTACAAAAACACCATGAGTCTGTTAATGTCTGAATTCGAAACATGACTTGGCCAAATCAGCAGAAATCTCCAATTGATCCCAATGCCACAATCCCTCACCCTGTTGGATCATGCCTTCCAATGGGGGAACCGTAAAATGGGTGGTTCCCCTCAAGGCAACTCCACATAGGGTCGAACACTGCGCACTTGGCGTTCGAGCATGGGACGACGAGCAAGGCGTAATTTGGAGCAACTGCTGCTATTCTACATAGGACAAGTAGAACCAAAGCGCGCCAGTTAGAAATAGCATGTGTACTGATCAAAGAAAGCCTCGTGAAAGTTCTGCACTGCCAGCTATGTCTAGAATCTGCTGAAACAAAACCACCCTACCAACTCTTTCCGCACTGAGTCCCAAACCATAAACCATCCCGCCCCCAACCAAGCAAGTGCAAAGACGGTTTTCTCCACTCTCCAGTGGCTAACGCGGTCAAGGGAGCCCATACAGGCTCTAACCGTGAAACCTCGATCCGGGCCGTTCATCGCTTCTGCGAAGGGCCTTTTTTCTCGATGCTTCGCGCGGAAGAGTCTCGGAACAAAAGCACCAAGACTTCTGGTGGACCGTCGCAAGGAACATGTAGACTGACAAGACACTTGCGCAGTGCATCGCAAAAACCGGCTAAGCGGACAAGCCGACCTAATGAAAAACCAAGGGCATCATGAATGGATTTTTGAAACCAAGGTCGACTCTCACGCAAAGGGCGCTGTTGACGCATGTCGCATGGGCTGAACCCATGGAAATGTGAAACTATGCCCCGGATCGAAAAACCCGGGGTGAAAGCCCGATGGGAAGGCGCGTGAAGACCTATGGGTAAACGACTCTAGGCCTTCAGGCCTTCACGCAACTCTCATAGGTAGGAATCCTCAGCACGCGGATTCTCCTTATTTGGGGGGGGGGGAGGGGTGGGCGTTTAGTTCAGTCAAAAAGGGTCTATGTCTAATAAACATCTGTAAACACTGTTTCAGCAACATCTTTACCTAAAGGACCAGTCGTTTGCGAATAAAAGTCCTCTGTTTTCCGCTGGTTCTCAGGATAGGGAACCATTGTAACCCCCAAATGCACTGGGGGCTCAACTGTGCAGGCTGTCAGGTAGCTGTTTTGCAATGAAATAAGTTCATGCAAGGATTCAAAGTACTTTCCTTCGAAGCGCCAAAACGGGAACCATTCTATTATTCTCTCCACTGACCTTAAACTACCCCCAGGCAAAAATAGTGTATGTGCCTTACTGGCTATATGGTGGTTATCCCATTGAATCCCACGGTTTGCTTCCCGCCCATCGCCGTTCCGCAATTCCTGTTCGCCGGCGGAGGCTGTTTCACCATTTCCAAAGTCAGCCCTTGGTCGGCAAAACACCGACCTGACAACTCACAAAAACGGTGACGACGACGACGACGACGACTACTACTACTACTACTACGACTACTACGTCTACTACTCTTCCTCCTGCTGCTGCTCCTACTGCTGCTGCTGCGGCTGCTGCTGCGTTTGCCGAAAGGCAAATGCTGTGGGCAGGCCTTTTTCTGCGGGTAGCATCGAAAATTCCAATGGACAGTTCCCACTTTGGGAGCAGTCGGGCCCCTAACTCCACAGATCCTTGACGACCCGATTCTGATCCTAGTTCACCATCCATGCCCCTCCAAAAACCGCCAGACCCATACCCCCCACCAACAAAAATAAAAACGTAGGGATTTACATGTCTCTTCCCCTTAGGACCCGCCAAAAGTGGAGAACCCGGCTTCCCTCTAAAAAGACGGACGCCTATTTCAGGTTCCGGTAGCAATTTCCCTCCCAACTAAATAAAGCTAGACCCATACGCATTGTAATGGTCTAACCAGAACCACGTATAAGGAATTGAAAAGGCGGCTGCGCCCATTTATGGTTGGGATTATCCCTTTCCAACCTTCATCTACCTGGGTATTTTGATTGTGGCTGATGTGTTGTTGTTTTTCCCGGATACCCACGTGTTCATTTTCCGCCCGCCCCCCCCAAAGAAAACTAGAGGACGATTTTCCCCAGGTGCTCATCCAGCCGCGGAGACACCTTTTTACATTGCTGCGGCGAGCGTGTCTGCACGCGGCGATGCTCAATGTGTATGGTCACATGAGAGCTCCATCTCATCATCCTAGTTTCCTCTCGACCTGCGCCGCGCGATTTCTCACGAAAGTGGCAAGCTGCATTGTTCCAGGCTGCTGCGCGCAAGTTGCTCTCTGCAAGCTGCTGCGTGCAAGTGCTCTTGAGCAAGTTGCTTTGCGCAAGTGCTCTGCGCCAGTTGCTCCGCGCAAGCGCTTTGCGCATGTGCTCTGTGCAAGTTGGTCTGTGCAAGTTGCTCTGCGCCAGTTGCTCCGTGCAAGCGCTTTGCGCATGTGCTCTGTGCAGGTTGCTCTGCGCAAGTGCTCTGAGCAAGTTGCTCTGCGCAAGTGCTCTGCGCCAGTTGCTCCGTGCAAGCGCTTTGCGCATGTGCTCTGTGCAAATTGGTCTGTGCAAGTTGCTCTGCGCAAGTGCTTTGTGCAACTGCTCTGTGCAATTCGCAGAGCGCAAGTTGCTCTGCGCAAGTGACTCTGCGCAAGTTGCTCTGCGCAAGTGCTGCCGGAGCTGTGGGAATGTACTTCGCGTACTATTTTTGTACTTAAAAGTTGCGATTTTCCAGCCGGAGCTGCGGGAGCACGCTCCGCATACTACGTCTGTACTTAAAAGTTAGGATTTTCCAACCGGAGCTGCGGGAGCACGCTCCGCGTACTACGTCTGTACTTAAAAGTTGCGATTTTCCAGCCGGAGCTGCAGGAGCACGCTCCGCGTACTACGTTTGTACTTAAAAGCTGCGATTTTCAAGCCGGAGCTGCCGCGGACCAGGGGGGAATCGAGCCCGCGACCGCGGGATTGCGAGAGCAGGCGCGAGAGCCACGAGACAACTTGCACAGGCCATTTCGTTGCGCGCGGACCGCATAAAAAGCCCTCAGTTTTTGAACCTCGACCACGCGAATCTCCGCAGAGGGTCGCGCGCGCATGCTAAAAATCGTAAAAAGTCCTCAGTTCTTTAACCTCGACCCTCCGCAGAGGGTCGCGCGCGCATGCTAAAAATCGTAAAAATTCCTCAGTTCTTTAACCTCCACCACGCGAATCTCCGCAGAGGGTCGCGCGCGCATGCTAAAAATCGTAAAAAGCCCTCAGTTGTTTGACCTCGACCACGCGAATCTCCGCAGAGGGTCGCAATCCCGAGCGACGATCAAACTCCCGCCCCGGCGCCATAGAAACCTAAACTAACTTACATAGCTGCTACTTGGCTCTGTGCCACTTGGCTCTATGTAACTTGGCTCTATTAAACTTGGCTCTATGTAACTTGGCTCTATGTAACTTGGCTCTATGTAACTTAGCTCTATGTAACTTGGCTGTATGTAACTTGGCTCTATGGCTCTATGTAACTTGGCTCTACCTAGGGCTTCAAGAGCCTGTAAAAATGTCGTACCCTGACTAAAACATTGTGTTTTTCTCGATTTTCTGAAAACATCGTGTGTTCAGGATAAAACCCGTTAAAAATGGGCTTTTGAGGCCAAACACTCATTTGGAGCAAAGGGTTCAAAGGCAAGGGTCGGGAGTGGAATTCACACAGGCATCACCCATTAAGATTTCAACTGAGGGCAATGCTCTATACTGAGTATGCTTCAAATTCTAAGGACCACATTGATGAGCCTGACAGCCAGGGTGTGCAGCTGGCTTCAGTCTTGAAGTACCTCTCACAGCAACAGGCACCTGAACAGTTTGAAGAGAGTGCTGGAATCCGAAAGCTCCTTTTGGTGCAAAACAAGACCAGGTCACTCCATTTCAGATTGTTTTATAAAATTTGAGGTGTTTTTAGAAAATGGGGCGGGATCCTGGCGGCTAACCGCAGAAACCCGTAGCAAACCCGTAGAAACCCGTAGCAAACCTGTAGAAACCCGTAGAAAACCCGCAGCCCCAGCCGAAAACATCGTGTTTTTGGAAAACATCGTGTTTTCTAACCCGTAGCTAAGCCGTGGAAAACCCGTAGTAAAGCGTGGCAAACCGTGGAAATTCTATGGGTTTTTCGGGTTCAACCACGAATGCGCTAATTCGAGAATGTTGCTGGAAAACAACGAAGTCGTGAGCAAAAGCACGGTCTTTGCTTGAGCTTGCGCGCTGTTCGAAGCCAGCACGCCCTCATCATGGCATTGCTGCTTGACAAGTGTCATAAAACCGTGGTACTTTTGACTATTTGGGTCCCCGGCCTCCTTCTTTCAGATTGGAGTTGCGAAAGACGAATGGCGAATGCGAAGCTGATTTCGTTACGAGCGCAAAAGGGGAGGGCGATGGGAGATTCTGAGGTTGAGATGATGCTTTTGAGATCTTTTGAGAACGGATGACGAGTTGAAGGAATGTATGGGAAAATGCTTGAAATCGAAAATGCGGTGTTTCCCGAAAACATCGTGTTTTCCAAAAAACATCGTGTTTTTTGTAGGTATGACATTTTCATCGGTTTTTGAGGCTCCTGGTATGTAACTTGGGTATGTAACTTGGCTCTATGCTCTGGCTCTATGTAACTTGGCTCTATGTAACTTGGCTCTATGTAACTTGGCTCTATGTAACTTGGCTCTATGTAACTTGGCTCTATGTAACTTGGCTCTATGTAACTTGGTTCTGTGTAACTTGTCCAAGGGCTCCGCACGGAAGAACCCTTCGCGATGCTTTCGGGAAAAACATTTTCCTAATTGTATGAGGGAAGCGTCCCCATTCTTTCCAAGGATCCTTCTGTTCAGGAAACCATTGATAACCCATGGGAAACTGCTGGTTTTTGAAAAGAACGATGGTTGAAAAGACTGGGAAAGGAATCAACCCCTAGAAAAAGAAAAACATGTTTTGCCCCCCGCCAAAAAAAAGCAATCACAACCTGTTTTCCTCAAAACGGGCAACCAAAGTCAAGGGGCACCCCCCCCAAGAAAAAAAAAAGAGAAAAAGAAACAAATGTCCCGTTTTCCCACAAGGGGCAACCGTCACCCCTAGAAAAACGTGTGTTCATTTCCCCCGCCCCAAAAAAGAACGGCTTTCCTAAAAGAACAACCAAATGCAAGGGGCACCCCCCCCCCCGCCTAAAAATAGAAAATCCCCCCAAAAAAAGACCTCAAAAAGGGCAACCAAATCCAAGAGGGCATGTACTATTCCTCCCCCTCCTCAAAAAAAACAGCTTCTCCTTTTCCTAGAAGAGCAACCAAAGTCCAAGAGGCACCCCCCCCCCTCCCAAAAATGGAAAATATGTTCCTTAAAGAGCAACCAAAGTCCAAGGGGCATGTACTATTCCCCCCCCACAAAAAAAACACAGTTTCCCCTTTTCCTAACAGAGCAACCACAGTCCGAGGGGCACCCCCCCTCCCAAAATCGAGAATATGTTCCTAAAAGAGCAACCAAAGTCCAAGGGGCACCCCCCCCGCGTCCCGAAAGGAACAGGACACATAAAACACAACCTGTTTCCCTAAAAGGGGCAACCAAAGTCCAAGGGGCATGTACTTGATGTTGATGAAGGCGTCCTCCCCCCCGTGGACCTCCAGGATCTCCAAGGTCTCGTGGATCAGCTCGCCCAGGTTCAAGCGCTTCCTACGGCCACCGCGCGCGTGGCTTCTCGCGTGGCTCGGGGGGGCGGTTTTTTTTCGGGCACAAAGGGAGCCACCCCAAAACGGGTTGCGGGTGGAAAAGACCCCCAACAAAAAGGAAACAGAAAAAAACCAGAGGTGTGTTGGATTAACGCGTCAACCCCCCGAAAAACAGCAGAAAAGAACATGTGTTCATGGGTGTACAGCGAGTACCAATCAGTTAGCATACCCAACCAATGGGTACCGCTAGCACACATTCTGAGATTTCCTAATTGGTGGGCCACAATTGGGGCTGCTTGTGACTGGTTGTTGCTCACTTGGATGGTCCCACCCCGTTTTCGAGTAGCTTAACCAAAAACAAACCAACAGAAAACCTCATTTTTGCAAGGGAAACAAAAAGGACTCGCAACTGCTCAAGGGAAACCAAGAGGAAACCACATTTGTTCCAGGGAAACCGACAAGAAGCCACCATTTTGGGTGAATGTCTCTTCGTTTTCTTTGGAGGGGGGAGGGTACCCACAAAATGGCTCGGCCTTTTCCTCTTGGTTCCCCTAAAACAAAACACACACACACACACAGACACACACGTCGCTGGTGTATCGTCGATCTGCGGCTTCCTGGCGGCTTACGGGTGTCCGTCTTTTTTTTTAAGAAGGGAACCGCTCAGAATGGGGGCCGATTTTTGTCTCGGGTTTCCCCCGTTAACACCAGCCAAAAGCCATAAGCTCAAAATGGTGGCCTTTTTTGTTGAAGGGTTTCCCGCGTGAACACCAACCACAAAGAGCAGCTTGTATTTGGGGGGTATCTGTTGGGGGGATCACAGGAATCCTGTGAAATGGGCGCACTCGCAAAAAAAGAGGCACACTCATATATTCACCGTGTGTGTGTGTTGGTTGATGCTGAAGCCAAAACACGTAAAAACCCACACCAGCACTTCACAGAGTGCTGTGCAAGTGCTCCCCCCATGCGTTCGTCGGCGCGATCCCCAACTAGGTCCTCCAGTGGAGAGGTTAGAATAAGGGTACCCGATTTGTTCTGTAGTCTATTTTAGTAGGGGAACCCCCCCAACCAAAAAAGAAACGGTCAAAGGGCACCTAGCTGGGGGACCAAGCCAACATCCCCGTCCTCTGTGCATAGTCCATCATGTGGCCGATGTTCTTGTTTTTTCCGATGTAGAGCGCGAAGGTCGGCAGCAGCTGCCGATAGTACGGCACCTGAGATCGCTGAGATGCTCCAAGGACCCAGCGGAGTTGGAACGTGGGTAAAACATGGTAAAACCGTGAGGCACAGCCGCATGTGTTTGTCTTGTTGTGCTACTCTCCCTCCCACCAACATGGCAACTGACTGGGGCTCCCTTCAAAAGGAAATTAATCTTCCAGGTACCTCCCCACAGGTGGGCTCGTCCAAGCAATTCTTCTTCATTCTACCATTTGCGGGCGGGCTCAGTATTTCAACCATGGCGAGACATGATCAAAAACTTCAAGCGCACGTCCAAGGCCGAGCGTATGCAAATGTCATTCTGTGGGTGCGTCTGTTCTTGAGGGTACCCGTTCAACCCGACATCAGCAGGAAAACCATGCATTTCACGGGTCCCCCTTTAAGACAAACCCATGCTAGAGAATCCCTCCAAGGATCACTCATGTCGCGCCTCCCGTCCCCCTTTCCGGGAGGCAAGACGATAAACATCGCAAACCATCGAAAAGCTCAATTAGGTGTACAGTTTCTTTAAAAAAAACAAACAAACATGTTTTCAGATGAGGGGCTTGGGTGTACAGTTTGTTTTTTTTGGACGAGGGGCTTGTACCGAATCTTGATTTTGTGGCTACCGAAGGCTCGCAGGAACAGACTCCCTATCTAACCAAAACACAATGTGTAATTCAACAACCCACTTAACACTACCCCAAAAGACTCCAAGACCCTCAGCATGAAGCAAAGGCTATTTCCTAAGATTGCGAACCGCCACAACTGGTTTGCCTCTTTCAGCTGTGACTACTAGGGTGACCGTCCATTCTCTAAGAAACCACCCAACTCAACTGGCTTGCTTCGCAGTTCTCAGGGCCCGCCTCGTGCCTCGCAAAAAAAAACAAAAAACATCCGATCTTCCTCGAACCTTCCCTAGGTCCTCCAGTAGTCCAGTAGAGAGGTTAGAAGACAGGTACCCAACTTTTTTCTGTAGTCTATTTCAGTAAAAAAAAAAAACAACTCCCAACCAAAAAAGAAACGGTAGAGAAGGGCACGGGGGACCTAGTTCCTTTCGCCAAGGGGCCAGGGCCTCACCCACCATGTCTGCACTGAGCACCAGAGTCTGAAGCACCTTCAAGATGTTGCAAATGATCACCGGGTCCTACGGAGCGAGCGCGAGCGCGTAGGCGTTCTGTTGGAGACATAGATGGCCCTGGTAAATGGCTTATAAAACCCATCTAAACCAGCGCCTTCTATTTTTACCCGCACATGAGAACCTATTTCCAGTGATAGATTCCTAGCCAACAACGGCACCAGGGGTAAACGACAGCCCCTGCATGACGAAAGAAAAGAAACCTTGATCACCTCTCCCCCCCACCCCAAATCCAACCTCACCCTCCCAAAAACTTTTGGCCCAATGAACAGAACCCAACATGAGACAAAGTCAAACCGTAGGGAATCAAGAGGGGGGGTTGGGAATGAACCTAGCATCCTCCAAAAGGCAACATGGAAATGTAACATACAAGTGGCCTCAAACAGTGGTTTCCCTTCAAACCAACCTGAGCGGGCAAACCTCCAAAAACAGAAACCCAAATTAAATCTATAGGGTTCATTCCAACCCCTTCCCTACTAGAACCAGCAAGAACATGGAACCTGATGTCCACCCCACCCCCCACAAACACACACACACACACACAGACAGACACAGACACACACAGACGCACGCAGAGACACACACACAGACACACACAGACACACACAGACACACACACACACACAACCACACACACACAGACACACACACACACACAGACACACAGACACGCAGACACACAGACATACAGAACAACACACAGATACAGGCACAGACACCCACACACCCAGACACCCAAACACCCAGACACCCACACACCCAGACACCCAGACACCCACACCCCACACACCCAGACACCCAGACACCAACACACCGACATCCAGGAACCACATCGGTCCCGCGTGTTCATTGCCGTCTTCATGGGGATGATCAGCTGTGGCACCACGGGCAGAATCTTGGGCCCGCCCCTTGCCAGCATGTCGTAGGTGCCAGTCACCGCCAGGAAGCGGTAGGGGTCCTTTCGCCCAAGTGCCATGGTGCCATGGGCCGTGGGTAAAACCCAAGCTCCACTCAAACCGGGGGGGGGGGGGGGTTCGCGTCCCCATTTGGAAAGCTGGACATGTGGTGTCTCCTAGCCACCTGAGTCACAATCAAAATTCGCAATGAAATGGCTGACCCAGAACCCTGTTTCCGGCTGGTCCTTCATCTATCCGGGTTTTGATTGTGGCCCAATTGACAGGACTAGCTCCTCTCAAACAAAAGGGGGGTGGTTTTGGGTCCCCATTTGGAAAGATGGACATGTCTCCAAAAGTCCAGCGCGGTTTTCCCCCAATACCCCAACGTTCCAGATCGAATGGTTTTCAGGGGAGCTTTCTTTTCATGTTCCCGTCAAGGGCGCCCAATGGATCTGGTCAATGGCAAACACTTGTGCTATGGTACCCCCCTTTTTTAGGCTTTAAAGGGAAACCGAAAGGAACGCGGTGCCATTTTGGGGTCCCCTGCTTCATATTTGCTGTTTGGAAGGACTTTGGGATCGATTCCGTTTGCGTTTGGCTCCCTGTCCAAGGGGTTTTCGGGAGATCTTTTCCAACCGACGGCTGTTCCAACGAGAAACAGAAAAGGGGTGGCCAAAAGGAAAACAGTTCCTGGTTGGTTCTTTGTGGGTGCTCCTAATTTGTTAAGCACAACTTCTTGTGTCACCAACAATCAATGGGAGACTGATTCTGTTTGGAAGGGGGGCGGGCTGGTAATTTGGTGGCTGGGAAAAGATTTCAAGAGCTGGGATTAAAATCCAAGAAACCGTCCGAGCCGGAAAACAGGGCTAAGGTAAGCGAATCCTTTCCTTGATGCTGCCTATCAACCTTCGCAAATACATGCCTATATATAACATCCAAATACCATGTAGCAGGTACTGCCGTCGATATGCTGATCTCGATGCAAACCAACCAGTGCCTAAGGCCCCATGACTTAGCCAAGCATCATGCGGCATCTGTTTCATGGACCCACCAAGGCTTCGGTTCTCCTCTTGGTTTCCCTTAAAAAAAAGAAGAAAAACAAGTCCCCTTAATTTAAACTAATAATGATAAGAATAACAACACAACAAGACAAAGGTACCCTCAAAAAAGGGTACCCTCAACAAAAAGATACCTTTACTGCCAAGTTGTTCAATGTGAGTTACCAAGGGTCCCGAATTCTGATTCACACAAACACACACCCACACACAAGCGGCTACTTCCATTTGATTCAGACCCCCAGTAGTGATAGGGGAAAGTCAAACATATTCATTTCAGCAAATGGAAGGCTATCCGCTCGCCTTTGGGTCCCCTACGACCAAGAAGCCGACTTCATTCTGAGACTTGCATGGGCCAGAAGTCAGGTCGTGGGGATCAAGAATTCGACGCAATCAGGTTGGAGATTCTCCCGGCACGTTTTTCCTTTCATGGGTTCATGGCTCTGTGATAGCAAAGTGGGTGAACATCCAAACGACTTATCACGGAAACTAGGCGGGCTCAGAGCAGTGAATATGTTGATAAGGTTCGATGCAAGCCTTTGCTATTTTCTGCCGTGTCTCCTCTGTTCGTGCTTGTGAGAAATAAACTTCTGCGTGATTCAAAACTTCTGCTTTTGGAAACAGGACTAGCCTCAACAACCACTTCGGCAAAGTGTTCCCCAAAGCAGAACTTTTCCACCACCAAACAGTTGACTGGACAGGGTATTAAACAAACAGGTACGAAGCATAAACTGTTGATTGACTGAAGTACCCCCATGAACATAGCAGTTCTATAGTGGTATTCCAATCACGTTCGGCCCCTTTGGTCCTCCTTTGGATCCTACAAAACCCCTGCAATTCTCCGTTTTTGGCGCCTCCTTTTCCCTCAAACCCTCGAAGAAGATGGGCAGGAAGTGGTGGTAGTCCAAGCGCTCAAGGTCCACCTCGTGGTTTTTTGCTCGTGAAAAGCCGACAAAAAAACACACGTGGAGAACCAAAAGCCGATTGGACAGTCAAACAAAAAAGCACGTTGAGAACCGAGATGTTCCATGAACGCCTACAAAATCGTGGGCTTTTTTGCTCCAAAACCGATATTTTCCATGGGGGCCCTACAAGACCGCGATTACTTTGCAGGGAAATCAACAACGCGGATATGTTTTTAAGTGAATCCAGCAAAAGCACGGATTGGTTCCGGGAAACCTGCAACACCGTGGAAGTCCCGGGAAACATAAGAAGCTGTGGAATTTTGCAGTGGGAACCGAAACGAACTTGCTGTTGTTTTGTTGACTTCACAGGGGAACCCGCCCCAAAAGCCCAAGCAAATTTGAACTGGAGAACTGGGAAGAGGTCCGGGGCGTCACCTGTCCAACGGACGCCCCATGAAAGACTGCTTTTGAAGGAACGCTTTCCAGTTGAATCCCTTGCAAAAAGGGCCCGAAAAGGGGAGAGGGAGTACTTTCCATCAAGTGAGGAAACCCAAAAGTGAAGAACAAGGGGTTGTGGCAGCCCAAATCTAGAGGGAGCCCAAATCTGGGGGGACTGGATGAAACGGCCAAGCGCAGGGCAGCACGACATTGAGCACAAACAAAAACGATGTGAAAATTCAAACCACAAGCCAGGACGATGATGTCTCAACATCAGGGGCCCTAACGTCCATGGGTGGTTTGCCTGTCGAGCAGGTGTGGTTGTGCGTGGGTGTGTCTGTGTGTGTTGTATGTGTGTGTGTGTGTGTTGTGGGGGTTGTGTGTGCTGTGTGTGCCGTGTGTTTTGTGTTGGTGTGGCTTGTGTTTTGTGTGTGTGTGTGTGCGTTTTTGTGCGTGTGTGTGTGTGTGTGTCTGGGGTGTTGTGGGGGTGTGTTTGTGTTTTGTGTGTGTGCGTGTGTTGTGTGTATTGTGTGTGTGTGTGAGTGTTCTGCGCGTGGTGTGTATTGTGTATGTGTTGGTGTGTTGTCGGGGGTGGTTTGTGTGTGTGTGTGTGGTTTGTGTGTGTGCTGTGTGTGTGTGTGTTGTTTGTGTGTGTGTCTGTGTCTGTGTTGTGTGTGTGTGTGCGTGTCTGTGTTGTGTGTGTGTTGTGCGTAGTGTGTGTGTATGTGTGTATGTGTGTGTGTGTGCGTGTGTGTGTGTGTGTGTGTCTGTGTGTGTGTGTGTGTCTGTGTGTGTGTGTCTGTGTGTGTGTGTGTCTCTGTGTGTGTGTGTGTGTCTCTGTGTGTGTGTGTGTCTCTGTGTGTCTGTGTCTGTGTCTGTGTCTGTGTCTGTGTCTGTGTCTGTGTCTGTGTCTGTGTCTGTGTCTGTGTCTGTGTCTGTGTCTGTGTCTGTGTCTGTGTCTGTGTCTGTGTCTGTGTGTGTTCGTGTGACGTGTGTAACGTGCGTGTGTGCAATGCAGTGCATTTGTGTATGTAACGTGTACGTAATGTGTGTAATGTGTGTAATATGTGTGTGTGTGATGTGTGTGTGTGATGTCTGTGTGATGTGTGCGTGTGCGCGTGTGTGTGTGTGGTATGTGTTTGCGCTGTTTGCGTGTGCTTTTGTTGTGCTGTGCGTGTGGTGCGTGTGGTGCATGCTGTGCGTGCTGTGTGTGTTGTGCGTTGTGTGCGTGTTGTGCGTGTTGTGCGTGTTGTGTGTGTGTGTTGTTCGTGTGGTGCGTGTTGTGCGTGTTGGCGTGTTGCGCGTGTTGCGCGTGTTGCGCGTGTTGTGCGTGTTGTGCGTGTTGCGCGTGTTGCGCGTGTTGCGCGTGTTGTGGGTGTTGTGCGTGTTGTGCGTGTTGTGCGTGTTGTGCGTGTTGTGCGTGTTGTGCATGTTGTGCGTGTTGTGCGTGTTGTGCGTGCGTGCGTGTGTGCCTCATTTTTTTGTTTTTTGTTTTTTTTCCCTTTTTTGTGTGTGTGTGTCTGTGTGTCTCTGTGTGTCTCTGTGTGTCTCTGTGTGTCTCTGTGTGTCTCTGTGTGTCTCTGTGTGTCTCTGTGGGTCTCTGTGTGTCTCTGTGTGTCTCTGTGTGTCTCTGTGGGTCTCTGTGTGTCTCTGTGTGTCTCTGTGTGTCTCTGTGTGTCTCTCTGTGTGTCTCTCTGTGTCTGTGTGTCTGTGTGTCTCTCTGTGTGCCTGGGTGTCTGTGTGTCTGCGTGTCTGTGTGTCTGTGTGTCTGTGTGTCTGCGTGTTGTGTGTGTGGTTGGGCGGGTTTCTGTTGATGCTGGCTTGCATGTGTGCAGTTCAACGGGTGTGTGTGTGTGTGTGCTTGTGGCCATGTGGCATGTCAAGCAGGTGCCTTTGGATGACTGTGTAAGCAAACGTGATGAATATTTGGTGGCGTCCGCTCAGAGCTAACTAAAGAAAGCATTCGGGGGTGCCACTTTTCTTTCATGCGGACCACCTCCCCCAACTTCGGGGTGTCTTCTTTTGAGGATATCCCTTTTTGGGGTTTGTCGCCACAGGAACAAACAAAACCGAAACCATGCAGTTCCCTTGTTGCAAAAGCCCTTTCATTTGATGAACAACCGCTGCTCAATAGAAACCGAACCTCCCCTGTTCCCAGAGGGTCCAAGTACCTCGAAGTACCTCATGCGGATGGCTTTTGGGGGGTAAAAGGTCTAAGTACCTCCTCAGGTACTTGGACCCTCTGGGGTTGGTAGTCCGGTTCCCCGTTTCGAGCCCAAAAGCTTCGCGGCTTGCGACGATCGATCCGAGAATCCTTCCAGGTGATCTTTCCGCCCACCGAGCCGTGGAGGATGGAGATGGGCAGATCCCCCCGGTCGTAGAAGTTCCGGAAGTGGGTGCCCGGGATGATCTGGCGCTTCCTGCCCCAATAAAATTGGTTTGCTTTGTTGTCGTCGTTGCTTTTGACATCTTTTGACGGTGCCAAAAGGGAAAGGGGGGGTGGGGGGGGAGGTTTTGCTGCGTTCTTTTCGCCGCCGGAAAGGGAAATCCGTCTGTTTGGGGCAGATGCAAAAGGTAATTACGGAAATTGGGGCGGGGGGATGTGGGGGGAGCGGCGTTGTTTTATGATGTTCAAGGAGATTCCAGTGATCCACTTTGCTTTCAACAAAATACGCTCCAAAATACTGCCTAACATCACCGGTTGCACGAACGAATCCGCTGAATAAAACATGCGCGACATGGCTAACATGCACCGTTGAAAGAAGCCAGCGCTTGGCTGGCATCGGCAAGGGCACAAGTGAGCAATCCATGCGAGCAAAGTCGTTCTGAACTACTCCTGTCGACCTTCATGTTGCATGCCTGGTTTTGCTTCCACAGAAGCATCTGATGTCCAAGCTTGTCCCTGTTCTCGATCGAAAGAACTCGAACTCACAAGGCCCGAGTAAACCTGTTGCCCCCCAGTTTTCTTGTCGCACCCTGGCACCCTGACAATTGAAATGGCTTGCAAAGCAAGGGCTCGCGGTTTTTAGGCAACCCGGCCGCAAATGTTATGTCTACATCAAGCTCAATGCAATGGCATGCTTGATCTTTTAGGTGTGTCACCATGTCAAATTGGGAATCTCGAATTCCCGCACGTACCACATTTTACACGTCAATCCGACACAAAACACCTGCAAAACCCACCCACCCAAACGGCTAGCTTCCACAAAACATATTTCCAAGTCTCCCTCAGACCCACTGGCCCCATGTCCTGGCGCCGCAATGTGATGGGCTGTCGGGGGGCAGATGCGGGTTCCAACTGAAGCCCTGGATCTTGGCCGTCATCGTCGTCAGCCCCGGGTCCGACTTGATCCGCGGCAGCAGCGCCGTGCGCTTCTTCTGCGCCTAGCTTCTCAGCGCTCGCAGGAGCATTCCCTTCCCATGGTGTCGGAACTGGGGGAAAACCCCACAGCCGAAAAAGCTGTTCAGGAGTTCTTGGGGGAAGTTCACCATGCAACCCGCCCCAAAGGGGCCTCTTGATTCGGGGCATGCCGGCATGCCCCCCCCCCCCTTCCATACGTTAGCTGAGGGGTGGGGATTCAAAAGGCATAGGGGCCGTTCATTTTACAAACCAACCGTTTGTCCCAGGTATTATGTTTGCTGAAAAGAGCCGGAGTGGAAAGTATCTGGGCATACTATGATTCACAAACCTGAAATGACAAACAAAAATAATGCAAGAAATTAAACCCAGAAACTCACCGCAAATTGCCCTTGGAGAAGTGTCCCTTTCAAATCAACCCAACAAAAGGTGCCCTCTTTCCCCATGGTTTTAAAGGTTTAAAGAGCTGCAGCGCCGAGCAGTTAAATCTCTCGATGACCCAGATGCCAAATGATTTAGTAGATGGCAGAGCTCCCTTGGAAAAGTAAAGGGCCGTGACGCGACACCGAATTGGACAGGGTGTCCAAGCCATTTCCCTTGATGGAACCTCCAAAAGCGGCGATCGGTTCAATGGAAGCCACCTAGTCTTGCCACTTTTCAAGGGTAAATCCAGTGACGGTTGGAGAGACTGCGCCCCACGCATGGGATATGTCGGTCTTGTTGGGAAAACCTGCAGACCTCTCGGCCCCTCCTCCTTCAGCTTGGACTTCACAGAGGGCGGTAGGAAGTCCTGGACATGCTCCAGCTCCCAAATCCGTAGGCTCCATGGAGAACATTGTAGCATTCAGGGGTCTCAACATAGGGAATGGCACCTCCAAAATGGGCGGTGCATGGTGGAAACCAACCCCCAAAACGTGTGACTGTCAAACTGAAGACCATGCTCTAGAATGCTGTGGTTGCTGTAAATGAAAAAAAAAGAGAAGAAAACAGAACGGCGGTCCAAGTCCTACTGTTCAAGCAGTCAAACATGAGCCCGTTTCGATTTTGGGATAGACCAAAAACTAAATTGAAGCATCCCCAAGGGCGCCGCAACTCGTCATGTGGACAGTTGGTTGATCTGGCCAGGACCTCGAGGAACAAAAAACTGGTTGCCTAGTGAACGAGGCATCTTCCGGTTGGGTCAAGTGAGTCTGTCTCACTTTGAAGGGAACCCCAAATGGGTGACGTCCCTTGGGTCTTTTTCAAAAACAACATCAAGGGAACCAGGCCTGGAAAGCCTGAGCCAAGGGTACTCCCTCAAAACAAGTGGAACACCCGCCTGCCAAATCTCCACACAAAAACCGTGGGCTCCCTCTAAACCAAACCCTAAACCAGTTGGAACCCTCACCCAAAAATCCACCCAAGCCAAAAAGAATAAATACCTCTTGCTGTTCTTCGCTTCCAGCCCCTCGTTTTGCCCCCCCCCTTCCCGGCGCTCCCTCCCCCCGAAACATTCCCTCGCCGCCCTCTCCCGGCTCCTCGGGGAAGTCCCCGAAGCAGCTGTGGCTGCCCATGGCCAGGAAGCCCTGGCTCTTCTCGAATCTGGGCCCCACCTTCCCATCTTTGCGCACCATGGACCTCGCGCAAGCGCACGCTTGCTGGCGCGCGCCCGCAGAGCTCCGTGGGGGACGAAGCAGTGACCGGGAGGGGGGGGAAAAACAAAAAAAAACAGGCCCCCGGTGTCTTCTTTTTTTGGGCGCCAAATTCGGCTGGTTGGTGTTTATTGTTCTTTGTTTCTTGCTTTTTGAGTTGTTTGCTTTTCATGTTTCAGGGGATGGCAAAAAAGGGGCCATCAGGAAAAACCGCTTTCTCTGCTTTTTGTGTTTGCTACTTTCAATGTTTGAGGGGATGTCAAAAGGGGCCATCACATTGACCTCCCAAAAACAAACTCGGGGTTCGAAGACATCACAGGAGCAAAGCGAACGCGCGCTTCGCAAAAACGTTGTTTTGTTCATGGCTGTTTGGCAACATGACCAGACCTGGCTTGGTGGGAAAGGTGAACAGGTGGAAAGACATGACAAGTGAGGAAAACACACATGCTTGCTTGTTTTGTTTGCAGAAAATGGTGACCTGGGGCTTGGTGGGAAAGGTGGCATGAACAAAACCAACATTTTGTAGGATCTCAAACTGTGCATGTTCACACTTCAAGGATACATCCGTAAAGTGCCACCGCTTTTTGGGGGCAGGCTACCAACCCGAAACGGTGGCAACCCGAAATTGGGGGTGTCATGTTGACCCCAGAAATAGATGTCCGTTGTCATTGCGGTGCTAAATCTATTTCGGTTGGGCCTCACTTCCTGCCTTTGTTGAGGGAAGCTTATCCATCAGAAACACGTTACCGCAAGCAAGCAGAATCAGAGGATTGCCGCCGCATTTGACGCCTCTGCAATCCATTCCGAACTGTGCAGGTCTCTTTTTGTTGATGGCGTACCTCTGTTGGGTCCGTTTCAAGGGCAAAACCAGAAGAAAGCAACACGGTTCAAGAGAAGTTGGCCTCCCCATTGTGAGACAAACCCCATGTTTTAGTCTGAAGTTCTGTTCTCGGCCAACCCATGAAGCCCACACTGGGGAATGCCCGTGTGCAAGTCGGAAATCCGTCTGGAACCGGCTTCCACACCGAAAAAGGTTTGTTTGAGCTGGAAGGCACATTCCTTTTCCTTTGATGAGACTGGCTTGGCCCTTCCAACCGAATTGTCAGTCCCATCCACTTCAACACGAATCGACGAGGAAGGGCGCCGGCTGCAAGCCAAGCGGCTGCAAAGCATCCTCAATCCTTGGTGTGGGGTCTCGCTTCTTGAGCGGATTGGGCACAAAAGTCTGGACTTGCTGTTTCGCAAAGTGTACAAAGTCCAGCAATCCGGTTTTTGTGCGCCCTTTGAGGAATGAGTCATGGGAAGGATTTTCAAACCACCCTCCATGCTTAAGATGGTCTCCGAGAATCTGGGCGTCACCCCAAGGACATGGGGAAGGGTAACTTTCTGGGCCAACCACGTAACTCCCGGGTCAAGTACCCCTGATTCATACCCCTTGGTTTCATGGCGTTTGTCTGTGGAAAGGGGATGACAGCAAGCCTGCAAAAGGTCATTTACCCTACTGTGGATGGACAAAATCCTGCACCAGTTGGGATGGATGAAACTCTGCAAATAATTGAATAAACCACCAATCCCAGCTGGTGCGAAATGGACTTCGTCTGTAAAACTCGTCTTTCCAAGCACCCAGGAAAGCTTCAGGGGAGGGGGGGGGTTGGACGAGGACCACTGCAAGGGCAGCCGATGTGGAGGGTTCCTGCTTTTGAGACACAGGCTCTGGAATCGTCCACGGGAATTTGCATCAGCATGACAACTCCTTTGACGCAAACATGGAAGAAAGCTAACCTGGATGCTAACTAGTCTGGCAGAAACGAACACCATCCCCTGGTGGCTGTCTAACATGACGCACTCAGTAACAACATGACACAATCAAAATCCTCTTGGAGCTCCGTTGGTGTCGATGAGAGAGAGCGTCCGCCACGCGCAAAGCGCCTTTCGGAAAGGGAAATGCTGCCACTTGTTCGTACAAATGAGTCGTCAAGACAAAAGCTAAGGACTGAAAAGGGCTCACCGTGAGTCCCTCACCTGTGGCAGGCTGTCCCTCCGATTACCCGGGGGTTTGATGGCGGTGCCCTTCCAACAAGAAGCGCCAGAGGTGTCCCCGTGGCTTCCTTTTGGTGGTGGCTTTCCGATGATTTCCCTTTAAAAAAAAAAACAAACTCCCTTTAAACAACCCAAAAAAACGGGTGAGGGTTCCCCACAAAACATGGGGGACAGGCCCTGCCAAGCCACATGAGAGTTGCCGCCGGGCCCGGCATGGTGCAAGATGGCGCTAGCGATACTACAGATCCGCCCCTTGCTGCCGGTTGAGCTGACGGCCGGTAGTTTGGGCAACTGGGTCCACTCAAGTAACATCCTCAAACTATGTGGAGGTTGATCAAAAGGTCCTTTACGTAGGATGACCATTGTGGAAAGCAATGATTTTCCACTTAATGCGCAAAGTTACCCACGTTCATTTGGGGGCCAGTAATACTGATCAACCCCCCCTATGTCGCTGAGGCTCAGTACCATGTGAAGGAACCAAAAGAAGAAAAAAAATCCCCCCCCCCCCACCGCCGCCCCCCCCCCCCCCCCGTTGTGACACGTACCAATATGCTTGCTGCTTTGAAGGAAAACCACCGGATCCCAAAGTTTTGAAAACCCCTCAACAGGCGCTGATGGACTCGAAGGCCCAAAGGCACCACAGCTAGGTGAAGATGGATACAGCTAGGCAACCCACGCTTTTGGATCAGATTCACATGGAACCCCCCAACGTCCCAGGGGTCTCCTTTCGGGTAACCCATGTTGCACCGCACACGCGGTACGTCTTGGCAAGCTTTGTGTTCAAAGCAGCCAGAACTCTGATGCTCGTCAACATGGCCGGGTTCATCAAGATAGTTGACTGAACTCCTGCCATGATTCAGGAGCTGAAACAAGTGCTAGTGTAATTGTCCCTATCAACTGGTTTGCTTTCATGGAAAAGGTGCGCTTCCCAACATAGGGGTCCCCTCCCATGGTTGGCTTCCTATTCATCTCCCTTGAAAGAAACTCCTGAAAAAGGGGGTTAGCCATGTTGAAACCTCCACACCCAAAAATAATGTGGCGGGGAACCTTCACGGTTGAGGCTCACTAAATCCAAGGATCCGTTTCAGGCACAGCTTATCTAAACACCCAAAAAACAGGGTTCCATGTTACTCTCCCAAATGACACCCAACCAACCATCATGTGAGAAATGAATCTCCTTCTGGGCAACCCCCTTTTTGGACGCAACGTTAATTTGCGGAGCAACCTGGAATGTATAGAACCCACTGAACGACTCCTACATGTCCTTTTGCCTTCGCTTGGAATTCAATTTGCGGAGCGACCTGGAGTGCAAAACCAACCATCTCTCTAGGGGTTGATTCCTTGTCCATTCTGTTCAACCATCGTTCTTCTCAAAAACCGATCGCCGTTTTCCCTGGGTTTCAAAGGAGGTTTCCCTGGAAAGAATGGGGAAGGTATCCCTAGAATCTCAGAATCTACTCCAGGAGAGAGGTTAGAATAATACCTTTTTTTCTGTAGTCTATTTTAGTAGGGGTTTCCCCCTCCCCCCAAAAACGAAACAGCAAAAAAAAGGGCACCGATCGCTGGGGGACCTAGTTGTGGTTTCCCTTCAAGACCCAAACCACCGCACGTGGCCTCCTGAGCATCGAAGCCGCTCTCCTGCGACACCTCGCCTAGGCAGGACTCCCTATGGCCAGGACCCCCTAAGCGCACTGGCCCACGTTAGTGTTTGTGGTTGGTGAGTACCGAAATAACAGCAAGGAGACTAGGATTAAGCCTACTGAGCTAGTTGAATATTGAATTGATTATTGATTTTATCCAGTTGCAACCAATGACCCAAATAATTAACTGGCCCCATGTATTGATGTTGTTTTGTGAATTCTTGGGTTGATTGTTCCCTTGTCCCAGCCGGTACTGCAACCCGAAAGGTAGACAAAACATGCGGTCTCTACTTTTTGGAGGAGCCTACCAAGAAAAGGGAGCAAGCGGTGTCACACCACGGAGCCTAGCATCAAAATCACCACCCTGATAGGACGTTAGTTTCCGCCTACGGAAGCAGTGAAGATGGGGCCCAGAATGAAGCAACAAAATGCGGAAATTATAGAAACAGCGATGGAGCTTGCCGGTTTGTCGTTTTCCGACTTTGATGGACTGCAACGCAGTTTAGAAGTTTTTAGGGACATATGGGCATGAATTTCAAGTAGGAACCTGGGCAAACATCATGTAGGTGGGGATTCATGTCCACCAAGCCACGGTTCAGGTGGTTCTTCGTAGAACTCCTAGCCAAATAGGGAATCCTGCTCCAGGAATATCAAGAGAATCTACCTGGCACCTATGGTTTCTTGAGTAGTTTCCTTGGGCTAGGTTGGTGCAACCGCCGGGTCAGCGGGGCGAGTTCCGCGTGCTCCAAAAGCTCAAGCGTAAAAACTAGGTTGTGTCCTGAAAACTAACAGTAGATCAAGGAGGATGACATCAAAAGCCACCACTATCAGTCACATAAACCTCAGGCTGACTCAAAGCAAGTACACTACATGATGCCGTTTGCTGGCACCAATGCGAGCAAGACCAACACATGGAACGGGCCGCTGAGGAGATTTACTGCCCCGTAGCCGGAATCATCCCCCACGTCCACTTCCGTGACTTTGACCACCAAGCCTCTTACCAGACCTCTTGGAAGACCAATGCTAACATGCAAAGGGCAAAGTTCTCCCTCGGCTCAGATCATAGCAAGCCCAGGCTAGCGAGCACTGACACTGGAGGTCGCGCCCATCCACCGGAAGCATGTTCAAATGAGTCACAATCAAAACCCGTACTAAAATGGTCTACCCAGAACCATGTAAGGAACTAAGAAGGCTATTTATGGTTGGGATCGTCCTTTGCTAAGCTTCATCTACCCGGGTTTTGATTGTGGCTCACATGGGGACTGGGCTTAGTCCGGAAGGTCCATCCATAGTTGTCTCGCCACAAAAAACCTGAAAACTGAACCCTTCGTTGCGCGCCTGGTAGTGGGTCACGTAGCAGCCACAACTGGCACGTTGGATTGGTGTGTCCGGAACTTTTAGCGTGGCCCTTGGACCCAAAACCCTAAAGCCAAATCAGACCCCAACACCAATTCTAGGGATGGCGCTGATCTAGTGCAGCTTCCATGGTTGCAGCACGCGTCACCGGCATGGTCCGTGGAATCGTCGAGAAGATCATCCCGATGATCAGCTTGCGTCCGGGAAACCCTGCCACCCCAAAAAAATATCAGCGACAAGCCTACCCAACAGAAGCTGGATGGGGACGTACACAGTCCAGTTGCCAAGCTCCCACAAACCACAGGAACCCTAAACCCCAAGATTCCCCTAACCCTCCCATTTGGCCCAACCTTGGCAACCAAGTGCAACTCCAGGAAGTAGTTTCCCACTTTTTGCTAAAAACAAAGAAAACATAGATTCCCTGCCAAACATCCATTGTTTGATTTTGACTTTTTATTGAACACCTTGATTGTGGCTTCCCTTAAACCAATTTTGCATGCTGACTCGGGCTAATCATACATATTACGGTCGTTCAGTGTGTTAAGAAAATCTTATTGAACAAGAAATAAGACTCTCGCTTGGCCAGCAAGTAAATTTATCAGAGTCTCGACGGCCCCATAAACCCGCTTTGTTTTGAGGTGACGGGTGCGGTTGGGTTCGACTGGCGAATGGGACATTTTGAGGAAGAATGTCGCACCCAAATCGCGAAAATAGCGCACTTGTAGCCCACCAAAAGCAAACTGTCCAACCACCAATCGGAACCACCATGGCAACAACACAACAACTGGCCGGATGGAGAACCCTCCCCCATAGAACCCGATTGACTGATCAGACTGGTTTCAGACTGGTTTCAGACCTCTTATTTGGCTGCAAAGCAAGCAGAACAAGACAAAGCTATGACCGGCTGCAGATTTACCTTCCAGAGTCTCAGCAAAACCTCAGATTTCTTAACCCCCTTGTGGGGCTTGGAAGTGGGTAAGACTCTCGACAGCAACTGTGGATGTCTTATCACAGAACATGACCGTAGATGGGTGTCGTCCTTTGCATTTGCTTGTACTCCACTAAATGGCTGCTCTGCTTGATTCTGCGGCCATTCACACATTGCTCTCCGTTCGTGCTGCAACTCGTTCCGCGGTGACTTCGCGTCCTCAGCCATGCCTCTCAGAACACGGGTAAAACTTGTGCATGTCAAATAGACGGTCAGCAAAAAGAGGAAAAACACCCATCCCTTTTCGGTGTCCTTGTTCGGGTCATGCACACAGTCCTTGCCGGAGCCCTTGCCAGAATGTTTCTGAATCACGAATTCCAAATCGACTTCAGCATCGTTCGGAATGCGAAGGGATGTTTTTCACCATCCAACAGCTAGAACTTTGTTGGTGACCCTTTATATTTCCGCAAATGCCAATGATCTCGCGCAACTAGATCAGATTTGTCCTCACGTCTTTGCGGGCGCTTCTTGTTGGTCGTGGCATGGTGTGTAAAGCGTGCAAAGGTGGAAACGTGGTTCCTTTGCCACCTCATAGGCCTCAGTCTGCTTCTTGGTGTGTGACTGCGCAAGTGAGAAATGAGAATACTACCCCACTTGAAGCTCCATGAATTTACCACCTTCAAAAGTCGCAACCCCAAGTGGCTTCACCCCGCCAGAAACAAGCAAAGTTGTCAAAACAGTGGACTCAGAGACGGATGCCCAGTTGTCGGCTGCTTCTTTTGGGCAACCCAACCCACCCAACGTCAAAATGACCCAGTTCCGCGGCAACTTTAGGGACATTTAACCGCACAAGTCCAAAGCCAACGGCAACATATCTGCAAAAGAGGTGGGTTCCCCACCCAAAACGGGGATTCCCAGCCTGCAAGGCGTACTGGCCCTCTGCAGGCTCGAAGCCTGAGGCGAGATATTTTTGGATCAGGAGGCGCTCGATCCGAATCCACCCGGCCGGAAAAAGAGCACCGAGTCCGGGAAAAAACGAAAAGCCGCCAGAGCTTTGCAGGGGAAACCGCTTTTGGAACCCGTGGGTTCTGTACCTAGTTTTCAGGACCATGGAGTTGGTGGAAGCCTAGTCTTCTGTTGGGATCCTAGTGTCTTCCTTATGCCAGAAATCAGCTTGGCTCTGGGCGCGCGTTGTGACTGGCGGTCACGGCCAAAAAGGCCACAGCGAGCCACAAGATTTGAAGGGGGTCTGTCCAAGACAAGTTGAACAAGTTGTTCGACTTGAACAGGCACACAAATGCTACACATACACCAAAGTCATGGTTGTCCTAGCAGAGCTGCTGAATATCAATGTCTCAGGCTTTGCAACCCTCTCGGAAAAGGGAGCCCCAACAATGCTCAGATTTCTCTTGGCGTCCACTTAAACCTCAAAAAACACACGCCCACGTTCCACTTGTTCGGGGGCAGATCTTGAGACCCAGCCCCAAGAAGAGTCGGAATGAATGCTAAGAGTGCTGGCGATTGCTTGCAGAAACTCGAGTAATATATATATATATATATCACTAAAAGCTCGTGGCGACCATGGAAGGCCAAAATCAAAGCGACACTTGCCGGGATGCCGAGACTGACTTGGCAAAAGAAGCTCGAGTGTGAACAGTGTCTGAAACCTCTCCCATGTTCCCGTGGGTGATGGCTTTGGGGTGATTTTGACTAAGGGTGCATAAAGCCTTTGATCCTCCGAGAGTGACATTAAACGGCAAACATCGATTAGCTGCATATGGCGTCGCAATACCTGACGCCGTCTACTCAGGATAGATTCGATGCTGCACATGTCAAAGTTTGCATAACACAATCTAAGCTATGTAGAGTCCTGGACCCTGGTCCTGCGTGCAAAGAATGCCCGGAATCCTTGTCCAAGCATCGCAAGCGGCATGCCTCCTGTCCGATGATAGCACGTCCATTGCCAGTGCCTTCTTTCTGGTTGATGAAACATCCGAACATGCGTTGCACATGAGCATCCAAACGGGGAATCTAGTCCATAGTCAAGTACCTTGCTCAAAGCTGAGCAGCAAGCTGCTTTCACGCACCGCTCACCCAGCTGCTCCCATTGTATATAAGGCGCCACCACAAAACGAAGTCATGAACGCTTCCCTTCAAAAGGATTCAGCCAACATCTTTAGCAGATGGAAGGCTGCTTGGCCCCAGCCCAAAGTGTGCCTCGCTTCCCGAGTGGATGGCCCAAAACAGGCTGCCAAACTTTAGTCCATGAACTCAGGAAGTGAGGAGTGCCTCTCTGAGCATCCGGCTGTAGTCACAGACCTCGTGCCGGAAGATCACGGTGAGGCCATCCTCGCGACCACAATCCGACTTCCGTATCCAGCAACTGGACCGTCCGAGAGGCTCCCCCGGCTTTCAGAAAGAAACAAAACGCCGTTCCACCAAACAGGTCCTTGCTTCCATTTGCTGTTTCGCCCACTGGAAATCATGACGAAATATATGTTCAGTAGTGATAGATTCCCTTTAATAACCAGCAAGAGACAATTAAAACACATATTCTTAAGCAAGTGGAAACTCGAGAAGCTTGTGATTTGCCTCACCTTGCAACGCCCCCCACCCTTGAATGGTCCATACACCCAGCTGGTTCCGGTGCCTCAACGTTCCCATTAACTTCTGCCCAAATGACCAGGAAATCATGACGCAAGTCCACAGCTGGGCGTGGGGTTCAGCTGCACCCGATTGATGGACAATCCAGGCCAAAGACTACTGTCTGGTCTTTGAAATAAAACCACCCACTCGGGTGCAACATAGTGCAATTTCACAAAGGGGGGGTCTAACTTGCGCAAAGGGAAACGGGATTGAACGCCAGCGCAACAGTTGAAGACAAAAGTGGCCTGTTCCAGAGCTGCAGTAAAACTGGCTGCATGACATACCTAGGTGCCGGTTGATGGTCGCATGCCGCAGGGAGGCACTGAACAGTCCAGCTGTTGACGCACACGCGCGCACAATGTAACGGTGCGTTCACAACAGTTCGAGCAGGTTGAAATGTGGGCTTGTCTTCAAACGAGGGGAACCCTACGGGGCTTCCCTTCAAAACCCCGCCAAAGCCAATATCTTCCAGCTGCTTGCAGAGACTCAGCTCCCATGCACCACGCGACATGATTTGTTGGCATGCAGATCAACTGGGGCCAGCTCGAGTGAAACCACAACACCAAGGCAAAGATGTCCAAGAAAGCAAAACACCACCAGAGCAGAAATTGAACTCCACCCCAAACCCATGACTGGAGTCAGGCGATCCGTTTCCAACCTGTACCCTCCAATCATGGAGTCTGACAGGGTTTCGGACCAGGGTCCTTCTCCATTTGCTTAAGTCCCCTGGAAAAGACAAACATACTTCCAGTAGTGATAGATTCCCTTAACATGGGGGAAAATCTCAAATATTCTTAAGATCTCGCCGGCTCCTGGCACGTGATGGGCGCGTCGGAGCCTTTGCGGTGCAGCACCAGGCTGCCCTCGCCCGGGCCGACGATGTGCAGCACGCACACCTGGCGAAGGGAGCCTAAAATTTGACCCTTGAGGTCAGGGGGAACCGCTCTAATACTGCCCTCGTAAGACGCCTCCTTGACTAGGTCCTCCAGATTTGAGAGGGTAGAATACGTTGGTGCCCGATGTTTTTGCTTTTTTGTCTATTTCAGTAGGAGAACCCTCCCCCAAGAAAGGGGAGAGAAGGGCACAGGGGGACTCAGTTGAGGTCCGGGGGACCCCCTAATACTACCCTCGTAAGACGTTAAAAGGGGAACTTCCTGAACAGGGTAGCCTAATACACAGTTCTGAGGGGGGCTCGCAGCTCAAACTCTGGAAGGAAGCCAAACTTTGCCGATCTGTCTGGACCTAACTTTTTGTCAGTCTGCCATCCTACCTCAGCTTTTGCCCCTACTGTGGATGGACCAAATCCATTTCGCACCACCCAAGAAACAACGGGGAACCTTTGTTTGTTGGTATTTACAGGGGCAATCATGATTCCCAAGGTTTCATAATAGGTGGTGCAGGATTTCGTCCATCCACAGTATCAAAGAAACAAATGTTGATTTTGGCCACATTTAGTGAACCCTATGATGTAAAACAAGTTCGAAGGAGATCCTCGTACCTGTCTTCCTTTCTCAAGCTGCCTGCGGGTTGATGTCAATCAATCATTGTTCAGCTGTTTTATCGCAGCATTTAGAAATCCATTTGGCTTTCTTGCTGTATCTCTGTTGTGTATTCATGTTTGCCCTCTGCAGGTGTTTTGTTATCCACATTTGTCTCTGTATCTCTCTCTCTCCCTCTAGCTCTTTCCCTCTCTCTCTGCGTCCATCCTGGGGTCAACTTCTAGCCGTGCAGGGATCGTTTCAAACGAAACCGATAAATGGCTTCCAGGATCCCCTAGCCTGCCAATAGTGAACTCACGTTAAGTTGGCCCAAGAGGTGACCAGGTCCCTGTAAAACTCGGAGGGCCCTGCCTAACCCTGCGATCTGCCCGGTTCCCTGAGAGATCAGCTGTCCCAAAATTTTCCAGGGACCCGCCAGTTGGAAGAAAACCTGCCGTTTTAAGACCATCTAGCAATGAAATATGTCACCTGAAATCACAGGGATGAAACCAAAGGGGTATGGAGGGGTTCTGGACACATTGCCGAGAACCCTTGCGGCTAGAGAGATCCAGTTTTGTTTCTCTTGAACCACGTCCATCTCTGCCTTAGAAAATCCTCAAAAGGCCCCAGGCGCGCCATGTGACATGGGGACAGCCTGTGCTCGGTTCTTCCGCTTCCAGCCCATAACTCAAAAAAGCCCTCACTTCCTGGGTAAGTTGGCCAAACGAACATGTTTTGGTTCACAACCAAAATGCTACTCCCAAAGTCTAAAGTCCCAGAAATCAAAACAGCGCAAAGCCCAAGAACCCAGGAGTTGAGTTGCTCAAGTGGTTCACCTGGGTCCGTCTCCACGGCTTCTCCTCAATCGGGAAACTCGAGACTCCCTTTCAAAGGACCCAGGGAAATCGTCGGTCGTCCGCTGGCCTTCCGCTGGTCCCTAAAGACCAGGCGGTCCTGCAGGGTTTCTCTGGGATCGCGGGTGGGTGGAGAAAAAAAAGTCCTGCGCCAATTGAATCCATGGGAAACCGTTTGTTGGTATTCACGGGCGAATCATCATGCCAGGGTTTCTTGGGTGGTGCGATATGGATTTTGTCCATCCACAGTATCACGGCGTGTTGGAGCAAGGCTTGCTTTGGAACAGCCCATGCGAGAGGACACCCAAAAACGGGCGTCAGGGGTTCCCACCCTGACGCCAAGACATCGTACGGCATTTCTTGGCGACGAATCCCAAGCTCTTTCGAGCCGCAAATTGGCCCAGACCAGCCATGGAGAACGACACCCTTTGTCCGAAACCCGGGCATTTTGGCCAACAGGCGCACCACTGGGCCGGGACCTCAAGTGTTTGAGGCTTACCACATGCCAAAGAGCCCCACATAAATTTCTCCAGCCGGGTCTGCTCTCCTTCACTTACCCAAACCGACCTTCCACTTGCTTGAAGGCAACCGCAAGGAACCCAAGCAAAAGCTTGCGGTATCCCCTGCCTGTATATAGGTCCTTACGCCCGTTTAGCATGGCTAAAGCTATGGGTGTGACTTTTTTCGAGGGTGCGGGCTTTGGGAGAGTTGGTAGAGGGAAACCCAAAAGGAAAACCGCGAGGCATGCCGTGGGTTCTGTTTGTTGAGGGTGCCTTTTTGGGATAGTTGGTAGAGGGAAACCCAAAAGGAAAACCGCCACGTATTCAGGCGTCCTCTGAAAAACCGACACGCTCTTTTCTGCGAGGGGACCCATCAAAAACATTCATTGTTTCGTGGCTTGGCTCGACCGACCAACCTGTACAGCATAACACCTACCATGCGGCCCCTGCCGCAAAAACTCTGCCGCAAAAACTCTGCCGCAAAAACCAGCGTCTTCTAATTTCGCCCAAAAGGGATGGTTAAGACCTCAAAAATGAAGATACAATTCAAATTCCTGAGGAACACATATAAATTTGTCAAATCAAAACCAGGGGCCCTCAAAAGCGGTTGAGCTTTTAATTTTGCCTTGCCTTTCAACACGGACACGCCCGCACGAAAGTTCGATTGTGTCCCACTTGGAATATTCGGGAAAGCCAATGCTCACCCTTTCTCACGAAGGATCGAGCCTTATTGCGGGAGAGATAAAACGGCTACCAATTCATCCTCCAAATACGGGCTGCGTTGAGAACCGCAGCTCTAAGAACAAACAATGGGAAGCCCGGCCATTTGTGTGGTCCAACCGACATTCCAGGTACCACAACAGCAACCAGCGGTTGCTTCTTCACCGGAAGACTGTCGGCCCCCACGGCCCGAGTTAAGGCACTATTTCTCTAGATTCCCATGAGGTCCTTCCTAGCTTTTCTGCATGGAAGCCACAAAACTGAGGCATCTCCCAATGGGTGATACAACAAATACAGTGGATGGACCAAATCCGTTCGCACCACGAAATGAAACCATAGTTCAAACCATTATGTTTGTTCCAGGAAGTCGGGAATCATTCCGTTGGGTTTCTGATTTCGATGGTGCGAAACGGATTCCGTCCATCCACAGTCCCTCTGACCCCATAACCCCTCTCTGGGGCCTGGCTAGGGCATAGGGAAACCGCTGGTGCGAAATCAACCATCCCCGGTATCTTTAACCCTAGACTCTGCTTCTGACCCTTTACAAAAACGGGCTCATCCGCCCTTTCTTTTGGGGTTTGACCAAGCAATTTTCGAGGGTCATGGAGACTCTGGATGGAAAAGTTCGCCTGGCATCCCCCAGAGGTCCTGGAGAGTGTTGGCCTGAACTTTGATGCCTTGGGCAGGTAGCGCCTGGCCGGACAGGACTCTGTTTCTGGTCACTGATCCAAGTCCATTCCCTGCGAACCAGTCCTGCCTCCGGGAAGAGAACCACGGCAGAGTCAGAAACCGAGCGTATGCGCATATGTATGTATATATATATACTCGTTTCTACATGCAAATCTTCCCTTCCCCTTACGCATAATATATGCCTGTATAGCTGTTTCTATCTGCAAATCGCCCCTTGCCCTTTTTGCCCTTGGGGCAGTGGTTTGGAAGTCACTGCCTAAGGGTCGGCGGCACCGCCCAGGCACGCCAGTACTTGGGTCTTGAACCTGGTAAGTAGGTCATAGCCACGGAGACAAGTGGGGACAGGGCATGCTTCACATACTGTGACTGGACAGAATCCATTTCGCACCAGTTGAGATGGATGAAGCCCTATGAAACCCTATGAATACTGGCTGATCAACCACCTACTGCTTGACTTTGTCCATCCACATACTGAAGGCCTTGAACGAAGAAATCTGAAAGTCTCCATATCCCCCCCCCCCCCGCCCCCAACCATTGGTTTCCTGTTTCCCTCTAAAAACAGACCTAAAAGGCGTCCAACATTCTGAGAAACTCATGACTATCTCAAATTGGAAATTAACAGAAGCTTTAGTCATGGCCCTTCATGGGTGCGCTCATTTTACCCTCGGTGAGCTCGCTATATAAAAGGTTTTCCACTTAGCCAATAGAAAACACCTGTCATGCCAATTGGCGGAGGCAAGGTGTGCCAAGAAGACCCTTTCACGCCAACCAAATCATTCTTTGCCAACGGGTCTGGAAGCTCTGGACCGGGGCAAACACATTTCCCTTTTGGAGAGGCCCATAAACGACATGTATACTTGAATACTGCATGCATCTGGGTGAACTAGACTTCTCCAAAGCCTGAAATTTAAGAGCCCCAAGAAAGCAAAGTCTGTTGACTGCATCCTCGAGACTACGGGCTCGAACAAGGTCGTTTAAAGGGAGATCCACAAAGAGAACCCCTCAAAATTTTCATTTTCTTTTTTTTTTTTTAGGAACTCGGTTTGACTGGGGTGAACCCTGCGGGGAACCCCGCCAACTGCTTCTTATCCTCCTCGGTGCTCGCGGTATGGGCCATGATACGGGTCCTGTCAGTGGGCTTGGATCTTGACTGGCCAAGGTGTGAAATGAACAAACAAATAACGCATAAAGACGGTGAACATCATAAACTTGGATGCCTCCGGACTGCTTAATAGGGTGCCATTTCCTGAGAAATCATGACGAATCAGCCAAATCCCCAATGACTGTCAGGTGCGTAGACACCCCCAAGCCTCACGGACTCCAAAAGGACTGACGGCCGCTTTTCGGGAGCATCCCCTTCAAATGTCCAATGGGCTTGGCAAATATATCAGGAGCTGACCAGTGGTCCTTCAATTGCCAACGGCACAACTAACTAACCCCTAGGTTCCAACATCGAGATATTTGGGTGTGAATTGTAACGGGTCCCAGACCGGAAATGGTGGACATTTAGGTGAGGATTCGTGTCCAACCACGTTGCAGGTGGTTCCCTATTGCAAATCGCACCCCTGGTCAAGTCGCATCACTCCAGGGTTTCCGTCATGTTCGGGTAAAATGGCATGTTCTGTTCAGGTTAGACCAAATGGATGATCTTAGCTCTTTTCGGATGCGCCAGTCGAAGGATTCGAATGGAATGACCATACCCCAGCAGAGTTGGACGTCACATGGGATACTGTCGAAGCGGAAAGGTATGGCCACATTTGATTGCTCACGCCAAGGACGGCCATTAATTTCTTCCCATACAGACACGGCATTGGCCTCCGAACGGGACCTATTGCGTCCAACGACAGGGACGGTCGACTCTTGGCTTGGCATTCAACAAGACGCGTTCAAGAGGAAATCTCGAGAAACTGACCTAACATGGAGTCGAGCTGGACGTGAGCCCAATACATGATGTGTGTGTTTCATTGTCAAGGGCTAGCATGCTTCGTTGCTGTCTTGGGTTCCAAGACAAAATTTGCAGCTTCTCGCGACTTCTCTTGGGTTGCCGCTGAACATGGAGTGAAACCGAACGCTACAGTCTATTGGCCTGAGTAAAGCTCACAAAGGCTACGGGGATCAGTGAAGCTCACATCTCTGTCGAATCTGCTAACCCCGTGGTGTGATTCGAACTTGTGAAGGTGAACTTATTTGCAACACAAGAAGCCACTTCGCGCACCTTTCGAGAAAGCCCAGGGAGTTGCAAATTGGATAATCAAACTCAGCCCGTCCTGCCGCTCCCATGAAAGCCCAGGTCCGCCGTGATACCCGTGAGAACTTCCGCAAGCTCCACTAATTCCTGGCTTGAGGCGAAGAAGGCTAGGCGAAGAACATGGAGACCACATCCGAATGGCAAGTGTGCCCTGTGTTCCAGTCCTTTGCTTACTTCTTCCGGGTGTTTCACGAGTTGAGGCGTTGTTGGCGATTTGGGTATCTTGTGAGGATGTGCGCTTTTGGGCTGTTTTTTGCAGGCGTTGTGGGGGGCGTTTATGGCAATTTGCGGGCGTTTGCGTTGTAAACAAGACAAACACAGCAACTACAAAACATAGTAACCCCTTTCAGGTGTCCGTGTTACGGGCGCAAGTCCCATTCATTTTGGTTCTACCAAATGATTGATTCTTGAAGGCCTTACTACAATCCCCTCTAAACCAGCGAGTAGAAGCCCTTCACCTTGCTTAAACGGCGAATGGGGGTGTTGGGCGGTCACAAGAGGTCTGCCTGTCCCGAATCCCTGCCTTGCAAATCTCCTCCAGGTTCTCTTCGGAATCGTCTAGCCAGGACACCTCCGGAGTGCATCCGAGCAAAAGGCGCGCTTGCGAGATCCTGAAATGTGTACCCTTGTCACGTTGGTTTAAAAGGACACCGACAGAAACCCAGGACCCATGCATTTTTGTGGGTTCTCCTGGTCCCCTATGTTTGACTCACCCCATGTCGCCTTTCTTCTCAACCACCAGTGACTTTCTGGAAATCCCTGGACAGAATGGGACTACCAGGTTCTTTCCGGCCTTCAACTTCTTTGGCGATGGTCCAATTTTTGGACGGGGCTTAACTGGCAGTGCCTGGAGTCTCCATGCCCCTTTGAAAATGGTGTCATTGCCCAAAACTGAGGGGTAGTGGCCCCATTTTTAGAGACTCCAGATTTTTTTTGAGAATTCCCCTGTTTGGTAGATTCTTGCAGGGTCATGCAGACTCCAGGTGTCTTTTTTGAGAATTCCCTGTGTGGCTTTAAAGAACACTTACCATTTAGGGGGTCCAACCTTAAAACCAACACACCCGCAAAGACTCGGGCGTTCGGGTTTTGACTCATTGCCTGGAAGCCTTGCGGAGACCACCTATCGTCTTCACAGGTTTTGTTCCCTAGGTGCATGGCATGGTTCTTGCACATGCTGGGAAAACAAAAATCAAAAAACGTTTTTTGCCACCTGCAACGTTTTGCAATGATTTGGGTGTTTCTCAAAATGATGTGTTCTCGGTTCAAACAGCATCCAACGTGTTTTAGGAAGCATCCGCTTGGCCAAAAGACCTGCGAATGGCTTCCCTGCCCGCTCCAAGAACCCAAAGTTGATTGGAAAGCGATCTATCGATCGCCCGGCCTCGTGTTTCTTTATCCCTTGAATGACTGATGGACAGCTGGGTGGACTAAAATATGCAAGGGGGGGTGGGCTGGGCACAAGATATGCGAAACCTACCGAAACATGGATGCTTTGGCACCCAAGCAAAGGCTGGTTCGGAAGGATAATTCATTCATATTGTCAGAAACTCCACGGCTCCTTCAAAAGATTGATTCAAATAATACATGCATGGAAAAACAACTAAACAGCTTAAGCCGTCCAACGAATTTCCCTTGTGGGTGTTTGCCCATTGTTTGGACTGCGCGTTTGCTTCGCTGTGACCGCCCAAACATCTACCCGTCAGGTTTGAGTGGGTGAGAGAGTACCTAACGTAACCTCGCGTTGGCTGCACCAGTACATTCAAACCAGAACCCCAGAGGACTCCAATACTGTGCATGGACGAAATCCTGCACCACCTAAGACCATAACCCCAGTCGACGCAAAAAAAAGCCAAACACTCCCTGCGCTTTTCCGCGCGGCGTTTTTTTTTCCGCGGGGGGCGCCTTGTTGCGGGGAAAGCTCCGGCCCATGGTGTCATTCTCGAACTCCGGGAATTCCGGCTGCCAGCCTGGGCTGAGTGATCCGCAGATGATCTGCAGCTTCCTTGGGGAGCCCAAAGGTTTGGAAACCCACGAGGGCGTGAAATCCAAATCCAAACCAATCCAAACCACCAGGGGATACCTGAGATATGGAGTCTGGCTTTAAAGAAAAAGAAAGGATCAAACCCAGGAAGAAACCAGCAACCGTTACACCTCTAGTAGCCCGTTTCTATTTCAAGTCTTGACGATGGACCTTGAAACAGTTGGGCCCTGTTCCAGGGGTCGGGGTCACTTCACTCGATCACCCGGGTCTGACCAACTCCTGGCAGCAGTGGAGAGCCTTCTCTCTCTTTTAGCTGTTGAGTGTCACCAGTCACTCCCTTTGTCGCCCAAGCTCAGGGGCGATGGAAGCGAACAAAAAAGACTCAACTCACCTCGTGGCCATAGGAAAATCATGCAATTATATACTTCGTCAGTCACTTATATTCCAGGATCCCAAGAAATGGACCTTCACCCAACAGGACTGCTTGCTTCACCGGGTGTCAATGGCCCTTCCTTTTGACTCCAAAACTAGTATATCCGCCAACCTGAGTTTGGGCTTCACCCCATCCCGAATGGATCACACCGTGACATGACCAGTACCAACGGAAGTCCGTTCATGTTCAAACTAACACCAAATACCAGTGGTTTCACCCTCTTCCTTGGCTTCGGCCATCCTCTCTCGAACCAAAAGCATTTCTGGGTCTGTCTTTTTTGAGGGTACCCATTCTGGGGCCGGTTTAAAGGAAAACCAACAAAAAGCCACAGGCACACTCAGCAGCCCCAGAAATCAGTTGGGTATGCCGGGTGTTGAACGCGAGGTTCTTCACGCTGCCAGTTGAACCCATGCCCGAGCTTCGATCCAGCTCGCCGTGTACCCACTTGCAAAGATGTGGCCAGCTCGCCAACTTTGCACATTCACCCGATCTGAATGCTTCGTAGCACTCCGATACCTCAGCCGTGGCCAGGCCAGATCTCTGGAAGTTGTAGAAGTTCGTGCGGCCTCGCAGCGTCGAGTAGTTCGACACGTACCCGCCGCAAGTCAGCGGCGCCGGAACATCCCGAGGTCGAACACCAGGAAGTTGCGTAAAAGCACGCAACCTCCCCAGCTTGGCTTTATCATGCTCGTTACTTATGGACAGAAAGGGGACCTTCACCCAGGTGTAACTTGAAAACTAACGTACAACCGAGCCCCTCTAAACAAGCACCAGAAACACCCTGCTCGTGGATGTTGGAGACAACCGACTCATGGAAATATGAAGAAAGGAAGTAATAGCCCTGCGGGGTTCGATTTGTGAGAGCAATTGCTTCTTTGGGGGCGTTTTGGGCATTGAAAGTGTATGTTGTCCAAAAGTCTTCCACCATCTTCTCAATGCAGAGGGCGCTCTGCTCAGAAACCTTGGGATGGACAAGTGCAAGAACGTGACATGTCTTGCTGGAGGACATTGCTTCGCGTCTAGCTGAGACCATGAAACCCGAGAAGAAAGAGTCTGGCACTGGAGTGAGGGGTGGTTGCCAAATATTGAGTCTAGCATATGGGTGTGTCTCAAAATAGGGGACCCTTGTTGGATGGTTTTTTACAGACACACCAAAAGGACACCCCCTACCACGAGGGGTCCCCGATTTTGAGAAACACCCATATAAGGATGTCTCAGAATAGGGGGACCCAAAAAATGGTGTTTGTCCTTCTGGCTTCCTCTTAAAACCACCCAAAAAGGGTGCGTTTGAAAAAGACACACCCATATGGACCAGCTGGATGAATGAGGGAATCTCCAAACGGGCCACCTCATAGCAATGATCCAAACGGGACTTTGAACTCCAGAAACCAGCACGAAGAGAACTCACTCAGTCCAGGGCTGTGGGAAATGGAATCCACTTCTGTGATACAACAGAAAGGGCTTCCCAAAGACTAACCCCCCATAAGGGGGAGATTTCCTTGTATCACAGAAGCGGGGATAAACCCCTTGAACCCAAAACCCTGCTCCAGGCCTAAAATTTCGCACAGTATCACATAGGATTGCCCTCGAGCCCAGCCCATCCAACTAGAGAGTGAGAGCTGGCGCACTTTGCTGAAGGGAAAGTCCACAAGAACAAAACCCCCAAAGAAACGAATGCTGCGAAACCTCCCAAGGCTCCACATGGGAGTGCACGGCAAAGGGAGACTACTTCCTCTAAATGGGTATGTCGCAAAAAATGGGAAGACCTAAAAATAGGCGGTTGCCCTGTGGTTGCCTTTCACAAACCACCCCTCAAAAAGGGTGCCATCAAAAGAAGTCTTGACCCCTCTGCAAAAGGTTGTTCACGTTTTGCGGTCCTATGGACAAAATCCACAAAGCTTCAACCAAACACTTCAGGTCCAAAGATCCGAAACCAACTTGCCATAACGAAATGGTGGTCTGCTTTTGGGATAGCTGCCACGGGAGTTTTCGTATTCGCTGAGATTCTGGCGACCTCTGCTTTTCAAGGCCTCAGCGGCCGACCTGCAGGCCGCGAGGGCCATAGCGGGGCGTTGCAACAAGTGACCCAAACAAAGGGGAACCCATTTTGGAGGGGTTGAGCCCAATTTTCCGGGGATTTGCCTCCAGACAAAAAGAGGAAAATGGGGAACTTGTTTGTTGTTTTATGTTTCTTTCATTTTTGGGGGGGTGGGGGGGGGTTCCTAAAAATGTGGAGCCTCTCTTGGCTTTGAAGAGAAACTAGGCGCAAACCATCTTTCGGGGCTCCTGAAATCATGGGAATCACCCAACTGCCAATCAGTGTCAATCCTGCAGTCATGCGCCGCCATTACTTCGCAATTGGTTTGCTTCCTTGCTTGCTTCCTTGCTTCCTTGCTTCCTTGCTTCCTTGCTTGCTTGCTTGTTTGCTTGTCTCCCTTCTTGCCTGCAGTCTTTGCCCATGGGGGAACCCCTGAGAGATGCTAAGTGAAACATGTCGGTGTTGGATGAAGCTGTGGTTGGCTAGGTTTGCCTTTGAGATTAGGAACCCAAGAGGGTTCCTAGTTTTTGCTGCATATCATGGCTCATCTCCCCAAAAGGAAGCCACTGATTTTGGCATTCATTTTTTGGTGTGTGTGTGTGTGTGCGCGTTGTTCTACGTGTGCAGGAATGCAAAAAAACATCCTACAATGCGTGCTTGCCTGCTTATCCACTTGCCTGTTTGTATGCTTTCGTGCTTAGCTGCTTTCTTGTGTGTGTTGCTTGCGTGTGTATTTGATCATTGGGCTTGCGTGTCCAATTGTCTGTCTGTTTGGTGAGGGTAAACTCCTGTTTGCCTTAAAACCAAAAGGAGACCATTTTGGAGAGCTCGTCACTCTGAGCATGTCACTCTGAGCATGCGCTTGTTCACATGTTCAATGGACATTCGAGTTGAACTCTGATTGAATAAATAGTGTTTAAAGGTTGACCTATTCTTGAAAAAAACAGAAATCCCATATGAATTCTAACTTGAATTAGAATAATTCGACTTTCAAGTTCTAATCTGAAATAGTAATATTGTTTGGATTCTGTCCTTATCAAACTCGATCTACACTCATTGATTTGGAAAGTTCTATTGGGAAAGGAATTCTATGCGAAAACCGCAACCACTGTGCTGTACGGTGTTTTCGGTAGTAAAGGTGGCTAGTAAAAACACAATTCTGGGACCTTTGAAGTATGACCTTGTGAATTGTACGAAACAAATATGTAACAAATTCTACAATCATAATTTCGATGTGTTTATTGCAACTTACACAATAATTAGCCTATTTCAGATTGAGTTGTACACTGGATCTCCTTTCCCATAGGATTTCTTTGCAAATCAGTTTAACCTTCTACACGCACAAAGGCTTAGATGAACTACACAATTGACCTCGAACGTCCTGAAACGGGAAACGCAAACAAATGCCCAAAAAAACAACACCCGAGCAACAAAAAAAAAACAATACAGACCCCATGTCCCAGATGCTGGAACCACCCCCCAATGCCAATTGTATTCGTGTTGCCTTGTTTTTCTCGAGGTGTGTTTGCATGATGTACCGTGTTTAACAATTGTTCTTCACACAATTGCAATGGCAGCTGAAAATGCAGATGCACACTCTTCCATGTTTAGCCTTCAAATGCTTCTTGTCATACAACACCGCACGCTCAGGGTATCATGTTCTGTTCTTTTTTCGGTGGGGGGGGGGCGTCCACGATGTTGAGACACACCATGACACGCCGCTTTTTCGGCTTCCAAAGTCATGTTCGGTTCTTCAAAATGGAAAGCAAGGTAGTCCATCCACGCAAGCGCCAGATCCTTTGAGACACGGCCATTAATTTTAGCTCTGTATTTTCGGGACTCGCCATATCCATGGGTCAAGAAAGCCCGAGAGCATTTAGGGACTCCATGGGCCCATGGGACTCCGTAAATCGCCAAATCCTATTTTGTCACACACACACACCCCTTAAGATCCACCGATATGTCGCTTGAAGGTGGGCTATGTCCGTGGTGTAAAGTCAGGCATCAGACAAGCCCCAGACAAACCCATCCACCAAAAGTGAGGCTATATCCCGTTTGGGGACATTCTCCATATGCTTGGCCATTCCCACTTGGTTGGGGTCTCCGCATCCAGCGCAGCCCTAGTGCACTTGCCAACAAGCTCAGACCCAAAAACGAACGACCCTCTAAGCTACCTTTATCAAACTACCCTCCCGCCCTTTTCACACGGAACCTGGAACCGGGGGTCCCTTTAGAGACATTGATCCAAACCAGGACCCCTATCAGCTGCCAAAAAGGGGCCCATCGCGGATCCGGATCCAGATCCAGCCCATGGGGCGCCCTGCGCGCGGTCGCACCTGTCGGCCGGCGCCAGAAACGGCAGCGGCAGCACCACAAAGTCCTCCTCCAGCAAGGCCTGGCGCGGATCATCGGTACTCGGTTACTTTCTGCTCCCCTGCTAAAAGTGCCTAACTTTTAGTGGTTTAATTCGGAAAGCCCAGTAGTTGGCAAAAAGTTAAAGTCCTAACATCTGTAATCATACGGCCAAAACGTACCTGTTGCCCGCGACCGCCCGGAACCGGGTCCCCGAGACCTCCAAAGAGAGTGGCAGGCACCGCAAAGACACACTTCCGAGCCCCCCGGGCCCCACCCCAGCTCCATGCTCCATACCCCCTTCATGGAGCACGGCGACTTTTGCTGGTTACATACTGCTATCATCAACACAACCCCAAACCTAAACCAAAAAAGCCAGCCCCGGATGCGCCGGACAGCCAGCTCCAAGCAAAACCTAAACCCTGGAAACCCTACACCTAAACACCCTAAACCCTAAAACCCTCAAACCCCAAACCAGAAAAAGCGTAAACCTAAACCCTAAAAACCCTAAACCTAAAATCTAAAAACCCTAAACCTGAACCCGAAGAACCCTAACCTGCCAGCAAGATCATACAGCATAATAAGACCTTGTCGGCGACACATATGTTTTGTGGGTACCTATACCATCTTTTCAAGTACCTTGGGGGTAAAGCTTACTATATTTCCCAATAGTGATAGACTTGCTGGTGCAATAGGCAGGGAATGCGGGAATGGCCCTTTTAAGCCATCCAACTGGCGGCTGGGGAAGTTTAAGGCCACATTCAGTCCTCCAAAAACACCAAAGGGTTGGAGTTCCCCAGAAGCATTCCCTTGCGGCTTCGGTTGAATGGCATGCGATGGCATTGCTGCCAGTAGCGTTTCTAAATATGCTAGGGCCTGCAACATCACAGCAAAAAGCATAACATTTACTACGCGCATACTCGCGTGGCAGGGGCCGTCGGGACCCCACATTTGCGCAGGCCTGCCGCAGGTGTGCCACATCGCAGGACGCCACGTCCATGACGGACGCTACGTCCATGACGGACGGATCCAGGAAAGTTGTCAACAGCCCATGCCGCGGTGCGATGCAAAAGCAAAAGGAAATGCCGCCTACAAGCAATGTAAGACTCCCAAAGTTCCAACCAAACACCTGAAAGTTCGAGCTAGATATCTTTAGATTCCTCTTCTCCAATCACTAGGGTTGGACTCAGTGCTGGGACGTGCCCTGAAGGCATGTTGGCTCAACACCCCAAGGTACTTGCCGTTTCCGACATCCAATACGGTGAGAACTTGAGCCGTATCCGATGAGCGTTTACTTTTGTACCCGTGGGAAGTTGTGGCTCGGCCTCCTGGCAGCCCAGTTTGAGCCTTCGTGTTGCGTGAAAAGTTGAGCCCAGATCCAATCCCCGCAGATTCAACGCGAAGAAGCGGTCCGCAGAAGACAAAAGTTGGTCGGCCTTCTGGGTTCCCTTACGGAAAACCGAAGGGGTTCATCTGCAACCACTTCTTCCTAAGCAGTGGCTCTACCTTTGGAACGAAGGGAGGTGTACCCCGAACCTCCTCTCGGACTATGCTAGTCCACTTACGGTGCACACTCACCAGATCCACATGGTTATTGTACGGGCAAAACGTACATGTTGCCCGCGACCGCCCGGAAGCGGGTCCCCGAGACCTTCAAAAAACGTGGCAGGCGCAACAAAAACGCACTTCCGAACCCCCCCCGGCCCCACCCAAGCTCCATGCGCCACCCCCCTTCGTGGAGCGCGGCGACTTTTCCTGGTTACATACTGCTATCATCAACACAACCCCAAGCCTAAACCAAAAAAGCCAGCCCCGGATGCGCCGGACAGCCAGCTCCAAGCAAAACCTAAACCCTGGAAACCCTACACCTAAACACCCTAAACCCTAAAACCCTCAAACCCCAAACCAGAAAAAGCGTAAACCTAAACCCTAAAAACCCTAAACCTAAAATCTAAAAACCCTAAACCTGAACCCGAAGAACCCTAACCTGCCAGCAAGATCATACAGCATAATAAGACCTTGTCGGCGACACATATGTTTTGTGGGTACCTATACCATCTTTTCAAGTACCTTGGGGGTAAAGCTTACTATATTTCCCAATAGTGATAGACTTGCTGGTGCAATAGGCAGGGAATGCGGGAATGGCCCTTTTAAGCCATCCAACTGGCGGTTGGGGAAGTTTAAGGCCACATTCAGTCCTCCAAAAACACCAAAGGGTGGCTTCTCCAAATGAAACCGCCCACTTCCGGCACTATTTTGAGAGGTGTTTTCAGAGGCTGGAGGCCAGTTCCCCAGAAGCATTCCCTTGCGGCTTCGGCTGAATGGCATGCGATGGCATTGCTGCCAGTAGCGTTTCTAAATATGCTAGGGCCTGCAACATCACAGCAAAAAGCATAACATTTACTACGCGCATACTTGCGTGGCAGGGGCCGTCGGGACCCCACATTTGCGCAGGCCTGCCGCAGGTGTGCCGCATCGCAGGACGCCACGTCCATGACGGACGCTACGTCCATGACGGACGGATCCAGGAAAGTTGTCAACAGCCCATGCCGCGGTGCGATGCAAAAGCAAAAGGAAATGCCGCCTACAAGCAATGTAAGACTCCCAAAGTTCCAACCAAACACCTGAAAGTTCGAGCTAGATATCTTTAGATTCCTCTTCTCCAATCACTAGGGTTGGACTCAGTGCTGGGACGTGCCCTGAAGGCATGTTGGCTCAACACCCCAAGGTACTTGCCGTTTCCGACATCCAATACTGCTATCATCAACTTGGCAGCCATTATGGCTCGTCTGGCTGAAGCCATGTCAAGGCTCCCAGGCGGTAGGCATCGTGCGGACTGAGTCCCCAAGTGTCTTTCTGAAGCTCTTGTCTGACGCAACCCCGAAACAAGGCAAACCGAAGCTTAAACCTAAACCCTAAAACCCTAAACCTAAACCCTAAAATCCCTAAACCTAAACCCTAAACACCATAAACCTAACCCCTAAAAACAACAAACCTAAAGCCTAAAAACCCTAAACCTAAACCCTAAAACCCTAAACCTAAACCCTAAAAACCACAAACCTAAACCCTAAAAACCCCAAACTTAAACCCTAAAACCCTAAACCTAAACCCTAAAAACCCTAAAACCTAAAACCTAAAACCCTAAACCTAAACCCTAAAACCCTAAACCTAAACCCTAAAAACCCGAAACCTAAACCCTAAAACCCTAAACCTAAACCCTAAAAACCCTAAACCTAAACCCTAAAAACCCTAAACCCTAAAAACCCCAAACCTAAACCCTAAAAACCACAAACCTAAACCTAAGAACCCCAAACCTAAACCCTAAAAACCCTAAACCTAAACCCTAAAAACCCGAAACCTAAACCCTAAAACCCTAAACCTAAACTCTAAAAACCCGAAACCTAAACCCTAAAAACCCTAAACCTAAACCCTAAAAGCCTTAAACTTAAACCCTAAAAACCCGAAACCTAAATCCTAAAACCCCCAAACCTAAAGCCTAAAACCCTAAACCTAAACCCTAAAAACCCTAAACCTAAACCCTAAAAACCCTAAACCTAAACCCTAAAACCCTAAACCTAAACTCTAAAAACCCGAAACCTAAATCCTAAAACCCCCAAACCTAAAGCCTAAAAGCCTTAAACTTAAACCCTAAAAACCCTAAACCTAAGCCCTAAAAACCCGACACCTAAACCTCAAAAACCCTAAGCCTAAACCCTAAAATCCCTAAACCTAAAGCCTAAAAACCCTAAACCCAAACCCTAAAAACCCTAAACCTAAACCCTAAAAACCCTAGACCTAAACCCCAAACACCCTAGACCTAAACCCCAAAAACCCTACACCTAAACCCTAAAACCCTAAACCTAAACCCTAAAAACCCTAAACCTCAAGCCTAAAAACCCTAAACCTAAACCCCAAAAACCCTAAACCTACTAGTCAGCAGTGCGACCTGTCAATAGTCCTGGGGTTCTCGATCCAGCATGTACAGGCCCAAGTCTTCTGAGTAGTCGTGTCAAGGAAGGTCCTCGCCGGGCCTCCAACGGCAAGGCCCCCCAGTCCATGGCAGGAGCAAATTCCTGAAAGCCGGCGGATATCACACCTGGCAGGACGATCATACAGCATAAGAGGACCTTGTGGGCGACACGTATGTTTTGTGGGTAATTGTATTGAGCTGCTCCATGGCAAAAGGGTGAGGCAACAGACATCCCTGCCCTTTGAAGCCTGGGAAATCTGCTTTGACGCAGCCTGTTGACAACATGCATTTGGGTGTTCTCTTTTAAAGGGTCCGAACAAAAAGGCACGCCCATGCACCAACCACATGTTCACTCAGCTTGGGTCCATAAGTTTGAGTGTCCCAAGCCGCGCGAGCGTGGGCGCGGATGCGCGCGGGCAAGCCGTGGTCTCTGAATAAATTGTCAACGTACCCCTGCCTCCAGCGTGAAACTGGGCACAGCCCTAAAGCAACTGGAATATTGCGGTCATGGTCCACGTTCCCATTGGCCCTCATTGAGGCATGTCTTGTGGGCAAGATTATTGGGGTAGGTGCTGCAGGTATGACCTGCTACTCCTATGTATAGGCTGGTATAGGGGCATTTAGTCATTTCTCCTGATTCCAACAAGCACAATTCTCTGCACAGGAATCTATTTGTTTCTACCTGCAAATAGACTTAAACCCAGCAGTTCTCTTTTTGGGGTACGTGACCCACGCCTGGGTTTAAGTCATTATGATTGTGGGGGTAGTCAAAAAGTGGAACCCTGTATCTGCAAACACAACTGCATCCGCTTCCAACACTCATGGAAGCTGAGAAGGGTTTTGGAAGACAGGCCTCCGGTCCTCCCAGAGGATTACTGGAAGGGTATGGACTAGTGTTTCTTGAGGTTCCCCATTTGGCTGTGGGTCAAAAATATGTACCCAAAATGGGTTGCCCTGATAAATGGAAGCAAGGACTCAAACCTGCGGTCCCCTGGTGGTTTAATTTTGACCCATACCCATTTATTGGGTTGGTTTAAGGGGAAGTTCAAAGGAAAACGATTTGGAGTTCGATTGCGACCCCATATATGAACTATCGTACCTTCATGGGGCGCGCCGGCGCGTTTTTGGTTCGACGCCAGGTGCGTGCCTTGGTGAAACTCTTGGCCAGGTGTCCTTTTTGGAACAGTGGGATTTCCCGAGAATCGTTCCCCAAGTGCAATCCATCAGATCCATGTTTTGAATTATTAAGGACACTGAGCCGAAACACGAGGTCTTGCACGAATTGGTTCAATCCGTGCAATGCGCTGCAAGTCTTGGTTGCCAAGATGCAGTCAGTGTCGAGAATGATGGCTCTGGGCCCGCAAGCGAAGCGGCACCCCGTGCTGGCGTCCGATCCAGCGGATTCGACCCAGAAGATGGAGCAGCTTGTTTACACAAATGCCGAGATGCCCAGCGGCAATGGGAAGAAAAGAACCGCCTCATCCTTTTTTGGTTGGTTGACTTTAAAGGGGAAACCCAAACCCAAAAACAAGTCGAAAAAAGGAAGCAACGCACTGGGCAACTGGGAAAATGATCTTCCCCCAAAGTTTGGATCAAGCCCAGCAACTCAGGAAGTGAGCTATAGGGGTATGGGTCAAAGTTAAACCTCCAGGAGACAGCAGGTTTTAGTCTTTGGTTCCATTTACCAGCCGGGTTCCATTTTAAGCACCTGTCTTGGACCCACAGCCATATGGACAAAATCATAGTGGACAATTCCCTCCTTTTACGTGAGAATTAAGTGGGCCATCCCTACGACGGATTCCGTTGGTAGCACAAGATGTGGCCTTTGACAACCACAATTGCCTCGACCATGGAAAACAGCCTGCACCAATCGGGATGGATGAAACCCTGTGAATACTGGGATACCTACCGACTGGTGCAGGATTTTCCCATCCACAGTATGCCCCGAGGGAATTTTGAAAAAGTCAACTCACCAGGAATAATTACCACTTGCATTTTTTTAACCCGGGCCAAGAGGGGAAACATAGGGACCTTTGTTTGCTGTAACTGTCGTCACCCGGCCGCCTAAAAGATTGGATTGGCCCTCAGCTTCTTGCCAACAAAAAGTCGGGCAACCATATTTGGGTGTTTTTGTTGAGGGTGCCCTTTTTGGGCTGGTTAAAAGAAAACCAAAAGGAAAACCGAAGGGGGGGTCCAACCTAAGAAAGATACACCCATTTGGTGAGCATGGACATATGCCAAAAAAGCAAATCCAAAGAGAGCCCTTTTCGTGGTCCATCTTGGGTTCCAAAACCAAACAAGAAGGAATTCCAAGGGGCCCAGAAGCCGCAAGTGATCCGCATGGACTCCCTTCCTCGCTTTCAAATGGACGCCAGGACCATCTTTAAAGGGGCCCAAACAACGGTCAACCGTCCAACTGCCATATGCGTGTGTGTCTGAAGCAACTTGGGGGATCGCAAACTTGTCGTCTTTCTTTCTTTTTGTTTTCCGTTTAAACCCACCAAAGCGCCAAAAAGCGGGGCTCCCTCAACAAACAGGACTCACCCACGGCTCGGCTCAACGATGCGTCTCTCAAAACTCGGGGGAAAAACAAAATGGTCCTGTTTCTGTCCTTTTGGTCTCCCTCCAAACCCACCAAACCCCCCAAAAAAAACAAAGATCCTCCGCCGCACCCAGTAGAATGGCCTCCAGCTTCTTCTCCTGGGGCACCAAGTACCAGAGCCAGGTGGGCACCACAGAGGCCCAGACCACGGTGGCCAGCACACACTTGGAGATGACCTCAGCTTGCTCGCTGGCGCCGTATCTTCCGAGAGATGACTGGAAAACGGGGAGGACATGACTAGGTGAAAAACTGTTAGGAGCAGAAAGCATCCGAGCAGCAGGTAGATTCTCCATGACCCCTGGAAACGGGGTCAGGAGCCCTCAATTTTCGGCAACGACCCTGTATTTTTGGCAATGACCCCATTTTTGAGAGCCGCGGAGAGTCTAGGTTGACACTTTCGGCGTTTAGCTCTAGGGGTTGAGTCCTTGTCCATTCTTGGCAGCCATCGTTCTTTTCAAAAACCGATATGGGGAAGTTACCCTTAGATTGGCGGTCCGTTTTCGGATCCCCCGCCAAAAGTTCAATAACTTCTAGTGGGTGAAATTCGGGGGAAAAAAAGCTGAAAAGCTAAAATGCTAAGGAACCGGAGCCAGCAAGTTTCGAGGAATGCAACACCCCCACCCCCAAATCTTGGTATGGTGGCAAAAATCGTGCCTTCCAGTTGGTATGGTGGCAAAACACTTTGCTTCGTTGCAGCCCCCAACTAACAATGACCGGAACCCAAAACTACGAAACATGCAAAGAACGGTTCAGGAAGCCTCCAAATTGAGAACTGTCCCTTTGGTTCCCCTTCAAAACTCATGGGAACCCGGAGTTATCAACCCCTGGTTAGAGGCGTCCCTTCAAAACAACCCCCAAGGGGTAAGTCGCAGTACCAACTTGGACCAAAAGCCGTCTGCCAACCCGTGCTAAGGAATCAAAATGCTGGATTCCTGCACCTAAGGCGTGGCTTCCCTTCAAAAATTCCAACCCAAAAGCGTAGCGTCCGAACCGAAAGCAGAGAGCGGCGTGAGTGCACCCGTGAGCTGGCGTTCGGCCAGAACGCTTGCAACATGAGCAACATGATGCCCCCTTTGCGCATTTCCACGCAACCCTTGAAGGTTTCCTCCGTGTAGTTGTGGGACTTCAAGCCACGTTAGCCCTCTGGAACACACATTGGTTGCTTTCCCCACACCAAAAAGGGGCACCCATGGTACCCTCAAAAAAGAGCACAAGCACTTGGAGGGGCCGGCATCCTTTTGACCTCGTCATCACCTACTTGGGGTGTGCCTCTCCCTAGCCCCTGAGCTTAGGGAGTTTCTCAACAACCCCCTCTGACATGCTGTTTGGCTGCATGTCCCATTCGTGTTGCCCGATTGCCCAAAAGGTTGCTGCTTTGCCCAGTCCAAAACCTCATTCCCTTTGCCTTCCCTTGATTGTTTAAGGGTGGTAGAATACTCCTCCGTGGAGCAAAGGGTAGGGCCAACCCAGTGATACTAACTGGAGTCTTCGGGGAAGACATCCCAAAACCACCCGCTTTACAATAGGACCTTAGTCACCAGCTGAATCTTTCAATAGACCCAAGTGAAGGTGTCTCAAAATGGTCCCCTAAACTGCTAGGTGTCCTTTTGGCTTCTCTTTAACAGCACCCTCACTGGAGGGAGAGAATCTACTCCTTCCTACAAATCGCGACATGGAACCCACAACGCCGAGGAAACTCCTTTTGGAGGACCCCTTTTGTGGGCTCCACGTGGCCATGGATTTTCAGAAGGAACCACCTCCAAAATGGTTGGTGGACCTAAAAACCCACCTAAATGGTGTCCACCGCAAAGTTGGTCATAAAGAACCCACCGAAATGGTGTCCACGACAAGGTCCCTAAGTAAAAAAAATAACATCACCCCCATCTCAGTTTGCGGCTTGGAGTACCGAACCCCCGCTTGGTCGCGCTTTGTCGCTTTCTCGCTTTCGCGAAACGAGCGGCGTAGTGGCCATTCCACCCGGCGGTCATGTTGATGGCCAGGGACTCGAAGGCCTTGTCCCACGCCAGGCCCACGATGATGCCGCAGCTGTTGGCCGCGCTGTGCAGCAGGTGGGCCTCGTGTGCTGTGGAACGAAAAACGTCGAATGAGTCATCCCCAAGAAACAAGGAGGCGCCCGAAGAAACAGACACCCCCAATTCAAATCCACAAGCAAACCAGCCACTTGGGAGGGACACCAGCCCGATTGAGAGACCAGGTGAGTCACAGTGAAAACCCGGAATGGAAATTGCCTACCCAGAACCATGTAAAGAATTAGGAAGGCGGTTGCAGCTACTTATTGTTGGGATTTTCCCTTACTAACCTTCATCTATCCGGGTTTTGATTGTAGCTCAAGCGACAAAGATTTCGAGATGCCACCGTAGGGACAAAGCCCAGTGGTCATTTGTTGGTTGGTTGACTTTAAAGGGGAACCCTTCCCCGCCTTCACCCCCCACAAAAAAAGGCACCACTGGCCGGCCGGGCAACTGGGGGGAGGAGGGACTGGAAATGAAGCTGGGACCCGCAAAGGGTGTAAAAGAGAACTGGTCTTGGTGCTCGTCTCCCCTCATGACCCTGGAACAAGTAGCTTGAGCCTGTTGAGCAGCATGTTGTTTTTTCCCAAGCTGGCAACGCTTCTTGGAAATATAGGAACTTCCCGAAATGTGATGTAGTAATCGACAGGGCAATTACTATGAAGGCACATGATGAGCATCATCGTCATCATCATCATCATCATCATCATCATCAGCATCACCATCACCATCACCATCAGCATCACCATCACCATCACCAGCACCATCACCATCACCATCACCACCACCACCACCACCATCATCATCATCATGATCATGATCATCACCGTCATCACAATCATCACCATCATCAATTTCATCCATCCCAACTGGGGCAGCACTTTGTCCATCCACAGCAAGTATCTTCCGAATCTTAATCGTACAACACTCCTGCCCTTCTCCGGCATCACTTCACGCTCGGCTGCCATGATCTCACTGGCATGGGTTTGGGCATAACGCGCACACACACACACACTTGATATGAGACGGCGAAACTGCCATGGTGCACCCCCGAGCAACTGGAAAGTGAAAAGTGGGGAGTGGAGTTTCGGCTCCGAGCAAGTCAGAACATTGTTCGTCAAGCAAGCTTCCTCTTCAGGGACGCCATCACCTGCTTGACTACTACACGCCTGATCATGCCGGGAGGTGGCGTCCGACTCCAAACTCAAAAGGACAGCGGAAACCCCTTAGAAACAGGGGGGCCACACACACACACACACCCCGCAGGGGGAGAACACAGGAAACCGAAAGGCCGCCTCCATCATGATGCTCGATGGGAGATTTGGTCACTTTTTTAAATCCTGCCTGTGCGTCTAGACGCGCATCCCGCAAGATTAAAAAGCCAAGTTTCTAAGACAAGGGCCAACCAGGAATTCAGATAGTAGGGGTTTTTAGAGACAGAAGCAAAACAGAAACAAAACAGAAAACCAAAACCATGCCAAGACATACACCGGCGGCGGCTGTTTGCGGACTTTTTGATTGTGGCCGAAGGGACGCATTGCTCCCATATGGAGTTCAAAAAGTCGATGCCCCAAATCCGTGGTAGAGCTGCACCTGTATCACCGGAGACGACTGGGCAGGCTGTGTTGGACACGTTCAGGTAGTCTTCTGATTCTGTTCCCGAGCTTTCCTGAGGCGTTCCTCCAGCGCTGCGTGACATCCGCGATGGACCTGTTGAGCTTCTTGGCCAGCGATTTGTACAAGTACTTGGACCGGTTGTCCTCTTTCAGGCTGCAAAGCTGCTGGTCATCTTCCTCTGTCCAGGCACGAGGTGCTTCCGGGGGAGTTCCTGGGTTGCCGGCCGGAGGTTCAGGAAGGGATTCAGGAGAGGATACCAGGCCAGCGCAGGGAGAGAGCGGAGCTGGAGCTGGAGTACGAGGTGCTGGACGTGGTGGAGGTTCCGGCGAGTCCATCTTCTCGGAGGATGTAGCGCGGCATCGCTTTCGCTTGGTTCTGCGTCGATCGGCCTCACCCTTGTCCATTATAGAGCGAGGAACATTGGCCTTCTTGAAGCCCGGCTGACCAACGTAATCGTGCACCATGGGGCTCTTCGAACGTAGATCTGTAGGGTCGTTGGTGTCCGCCGCGATGATGCAATAGGACAACGACTTGGGGTTGACCGCCACGTTCCCCCTGTGGTCTGCGTGTGACTGAATTGATTGGAATCCGACATGTGGTGGATGCTGGGTTGACTGGATTCGACATCGGCGGGCCAGGTGGGTTTACCTCATCGGCTCCAACAGGAGCAGGTGCGTGTAGCCGTGATGGCTCGGCCAGCGACCGGCCTTGGACATATTGTTGTTGCCAGCGACCTTGCCCATCATGGTGCCGGCGACTGCGTGCCTCGTCAGCTTGGTTCAAGGTCTCCTGAATGAGCTGCATCATGTCACCAGCGTTCTGAGTCATGCGGTGATGAAGCGCTATCATGCGGCCGAGCATGGCGGAGGTCGGCAGGAAGTGCAGCACTGTTTGAACCAGTGTATGAGCACCATGGTCAACACGGACATCAAGAAACAAGAAACCAAGAAAAACAAGAAAATACAAACGCGGACACATGAGGGTAAGAGCCAAAAGGCAGGCGCTTGAGAATTCTTTCGTGTTGGAGTCGCCGGTAGGTGAAACAGGTGTTGCAGGTCAGCTGACTTGTAGCCTGCGGACAAATAGATGCTGCGAAGCTGATCCAGTGCCATCTGTACTGCTCTGGCCGGATGCGCGTACTTGGTGGCAAGGGCTGACCGTGACCTAGCTCCTGAGAGGAGGATGGAGAGGCTTCCAGCAGTGCGTGGTCCTCGTATCTGCCAGATTTTTGTGGGGGTTTTGTGGTAAATAGACCGGTCGCCGACATCGATGACGAAGCGGAGGAACTCTGAAGACCCCACTTGTTCCAGCACGATGGGGGCACCGTAGAAGTAGTGCCTCGAGTGGGGGCGCCGGGTGACCTGAGGATGGAGAAGGGAAGATGACAAACCGGTTGTCCACATATCGCTCCAAGAAGACGTTGTGACTGGTGTACCATTGTCCATAGATACGCTGCCACATGACTTCGTGCCTTGCTACGCATATGTGGCTAAGTACCGGGCTGAGCTGGGAGCCAATTGCTGTACCATGGACTTGGCGCATGATGAGGGTCCCCGCTTGAACATACATGCCTTGGAAGCTGGACTTGACAATGGTCATGATGTCCTCCACGTGGATGATGCGCGTGGTCGGTGTGCGTCCGTAGGATTGCTTGCCCGCAAACACCCGATTGTGGTGGGCAGTTGCCTGTGTTTCCACTGAGTACACGGACCTGGGCCTGTCTCGTTGGTGCTCGGCGAGTAGCTGCGCAACCGCTGCACACACCTGGTCCTGAGGAACACTGTTGAAGAAGCCGACTAAGTCGTCATTGTGGAAGGCAAGGGTGACTGTGTCATCTGTGTTCTCAAAGTATTGCTTGATGTTCTGCCATATGCGTGGTGTGGGGTGTATCCCACATGAGCGTCTCCATGTGTCTGCGGCAATCTCGCCGAGAAGGATGGCGACTGCTTTGAAAAGTAGCCGGTGCACCACCTTGTGATATGCTATAATGGTGCGACCCGACTTCCACTGCTTTTTCCGTTTGAGAAAGACTTTTTCAACCGGGATGGAGGTGGTCTTCTTCCGGTATGCCCATTTGTACTTCTGCCGCAGGTGCTTTGGAATTGCCTCAAGAATAATGGCCGCTGCTTGATCGGGCTTCAGTGTAGTGGCTTCGAAGGTGCTGGACTGAAGCCAGGTATTGTGGAGGCCCTTGAAGTAGAGTTGAGGACAGAAGAACATGAGGTGGTGGTTGTCATGATCCTCGTTGTGGCATACAAAGTCTTGACCAAGGTGTCGATGAAGGATGTTGAGCTGATGCTTGGTAAGGAGCTGGTGAGTGCATGCATGTTTCCGATGTTGCTGGAATTGGCTGCGAAGGTGCTCCATGAGAGGGGCGTGGAACTGGTCCAGCGGGAGTCCGTGATGCAAACACCATTTCCGTAGGCGTTCGTGAACTTGCACTTCGTAGACCGCGAAGTCCACATAATACGACGCCAGCGCTGAGGTGTAGCGAACGTGATGGGGCGTACCCGGAAACCGGAACTCATCTAATCCTGCTGCCACATGACCTTGAACATGGGATAGCCAGGGCTGACTTTTGAGCCAGGCGTCGCATTGACACGATGATGGCCCAGAAGACGTCAAGGGATAGCAGTCTTGAAATGGCGAGTAGTTCCACATGACTGTGTGGACTCGGGGATGAGGAGTCTCAGCGAGCTTCGTGCTCGGTAAGTGGAATGGAAGGGCCCAGTTGCGGTGGTCGATGACGAGACGACGAAGAACTTCTCTGGTGGTCCGTTGATAATCTGGGTGAGACAGCCACGGTAATCGCAATAGCAGGTTGAGCTTGGGTTGCTGTAGTTGTCGAAAATCAAGAACTCGACGAAGAATGTTGCGAACTTGATGCCGATGAGGCTGCTCCACATTGCCAGACAACCTGTAGATGGCGTAGATGTCCAGGTCCGAGTGCTGTCCGCTGCGAAGTCGTTTTTCTTCTTCCCAGGATTCAATGTGCTCCGAGGTGAGGCGGGCAATGATGGACCACGCCTGATTGTGTTTGAGCGCCACTCGATGAAAATTTCGGCCATAGACTGTGCAGCTCCTTCTCCGGAGCCGAAGGAAGAGGCGTTTGCCGAATCTGGACCAGGGTTGTTCAGCAAGAAACCTGGTAGCTGTGTATCCGGTGGAGATACGCTTGTATCGCCGGTGAATGTAGGGCCAATTGAGGGACGGCTGATAAATGCTGATCAGGGCATGCTCTTGAGTCCAGGTGACTGTGTGGTCGGGGTCGGTCAGGATGACCCAGGTGGCAAATTCATCATAGTTGCCGAAGTGGTGCCACCATCTGAGTGCCGGTTCAGCATTAATGAATTGCCCATGTTGAATACCCAGCAACTTGGCTCTACGATTGTGCTCTCGGCTGGAATAAGTGATGCTGGTACTGCCAATGTATACATCGGACTGCGGGTGCATGTGTGGGACGACCGTAGTGATGAACCATGAGCAGTGTGGCTAGGGACTCGGCCCACATGGACAGTTGCTTGTTGACCATCGGCATGTTGAGAACTCTGCGACACGTAATGATGATCAGGTAGAGAACCTGATAATATTGGTAGGATGCGTTGACATCGAGTGGATCACCGAGTCGTAGCGCAATGAGCGCCGTGAGGTAGGGAAGGAAGTGGTCGGTGCCGTGTTGCAAGCTAACTGGCCACATGGGCTCAGGGATGCCATAGTATTTGGCAGCGCCGCATAGTTCTGAACTTTCATACTTGCCGAAGAGCTGCAGGAGAAACACCGTTTCCGGAGACTGAATGACCGGCATGGCTTGGCCATATGTAGCAGGCTTGAGCACCGGCGTGTTAGTTGGGGTCAACTTAGAACAACACCGGCTTGCAAACCCCCGAGAACCAAGAACGAGAAAAAGAAAAAGCAAAGGAAGAACCCAGGGCACGTTCCGGGCACACCTGAAAAGGAAGACCAGAGGGAACCACAACGTCCTAGCGAAAAAGGCATCGACCCACAGGGGAGCAGCTTGATTTGGACCGCGCGCCTAGCAGTGGGGCCTTTTGTGCCAGCCGGTTCATAGTTTGCTAACGTCCTCCATCGTGAGTGCGAGCATCGCTTCTCTCACTTGCCGTACATGTACAGTACCGTGATGAACTGTAGGAGCGCTCGTTTCGATCCCTTACTCACCAGCGAGATAGTCGCCCCCCACTTGACTGCAATGGTTTTCAACTGCTCCACCGTGTCCGACGCCAGCTCCTGCTTGACGAGGTCGAGATGATAAGTCGCTTGGTTGGTCAGCGTGCGTTCCTGCAACCACGCTTTGAAGACTTTGTCCGTGAGACTGGTGGGAAGTGGGACCTGCTGGCCCTTGGGATTGCCCTGACGTAAAAGCTCTGGATCTAGGGTGATGTCCGGGGCGGCCTCTGGAGTCTTTGCGCTTGGCCGGGCGTCGTTTGGGAGCTGGATCAGTGTCCGGAGAAGGAGGGGCCCAGGAGCATCCGACATCGCTTTGTTGATATAGAGGGACTGGTCAGAGCGGCCAGGTGTGTGAGTCCAGGAAGTGGTCTTGGAAGGAGGCGAAGATGGCTGCTTCTTGTCCGGTGTGAGAGTGATGCCTTTGCTCTTGTAGCGCTCAAGCTGATGTTCCAATTCGGCAATTTTGTGGCGGGTGCGGTTCTCCTGCTTGGCAGGCTGCAGGGACTCCATGAGGTCCACGATTTTGAGCGCGAGCGGCTCCATGAACTGCATAGCCTCATTGCGCTTGTCTGGCGCATTGTCCGGGTGAAGGGAGCGGGCTGTCCGATCGATGTCGACTTCCCTGCCTCGCAAGGCTTTGAGGATTGATGTCAATAACACCGCCTCGGCAATTGTCTGAGCCATTACCGGTGTGCTGTATCGCCCGTTCGATAGCGCTCTGAGCGCGTGATCTTCTGCTCCTCCACGAAGAAGACGCGTCAGTGGAAGATCTAGAATTGCTGTTCCTGCGAGTCCGACCCTGCGAGACCACTGAGTGGGTTGAATATGACGGTATAGTTGCAGGCCACGGACTTCCGTTTTGTCGAGAAAGATGTCATCAGATTGAAAGGTGCCGGGAAGAAGCTGCGCATAGCGAGGCTGAGTATACTGCGTTGTATCGCCTTGGCCTAGGGGCGCACGGGGCTGAAGTTAAACTGGTGGTGCTGGTGGTGGGGGCCGAGAACCTGTCTGTATGTGGGTCGTGCCACCGCCATGATAGTTGTAAAACTGGCCAGGAGGCTGCGGTGGGAACTGGTAGGTCATATGTGGAGGCCGAGGAGGATTGACCCGGGTACTGCTTCCTCTCAAGGTTGGTGCTGCACAGGTTCCATCCGGTTGGAGCTCGAGTAGGCTGCTGTCTGGGACTGCGGGACCGACCATGATGGAAGATGCGAAGACATCGGTTGCGAAAAAGGGGTTGCCGAAGTCGCCGGCCATGAGTAGGGCCACTGAGAGGCCATCAAGGGATGGTCGTTTATCTCTGGCACTAGCTGATTGATTGACCAAACGCTGGGCATGCGGCACGGGTTGACACGTTGACAAAGGTTTTCAAACAGAGGCCGGACATTAAGAAAAAGCGATCAACACAAGCGGATCAACACAAGACCATGGAAACCACGTCAAGAAGACCAGCAAAATACAGTCGTGCTTGCGTCAGAAGGCCCCGGCGTGCACTTTTTGTCGCACATGCTGTCGGCGGGCGGAGACGGCAATGTGGTATTGCCATGAAACATCATTAATGGTCATCAGGTGCAGCAGCTCGTTTGATCGGGTTGCCGGTGTAGCAAAACCAGCGCATCGATAAAGCTCATGGAAAGCATGACTGCCGAAGTGGTAGATTGGTCATCTGGATCATTGCCTGATGCAGGTTCACGAGCGGAGAATACCTGTGGGTGGTTTCGCGTCGGTAGGCCATGCGAGTCCAACGATCTGGCTGGCTTCTGGAATCACCAGCCAACACTTGCCTGCAACATAGTGTATGACGTCAGGACGCTCACTGGAATCCAAGGCCTCGATGCAAGCTCGTTCTCCCCCTCCACGAATCGGCTGACAGGTACCGACGGCGCGCCCGAACAGCAATAGTTGGGCCATGTTGAAAGACATACTCCAGTTCTGAGACATCATCCGGGCTATTTCTTCAGCGTCGTAGTCGGCGTGTCCTGTGATTTTCCAACCTTGGGCGTAAAAGGCTGGGCACTCCGAGCTATGCTGCCGGGAAGGATGTATCTGCCGGCTTCGTAGTATGCCTCGAGTACCGCCAACACTGGAAGCGTGAGTCCAGAGCAGCATGGGTCGCGTCTTCGTTGGTTCTTTGAGCCTAACTGTGGCGCCGAGGTAGGGGACGGTCAGCATGAACCAGTGTGGAGTGATCTTGAAGTAGTGATGGTCCGAATTGACCTTTGCATAGGCCAAGGTGGAGTGCTGAGACGGTATTCCTGCTGCATTTAGGGTAGCGGCCACATAGTCCATCTGCTCCTGATTAACCGGGATCCCGTCGCGGACGTACTGCGAGGCAAGTACCTGAAGTTCTCTCCTCCACGGGTCGGATTGTGGGTTGGGGAGCAGGATCAGCGGTGGGTGTGCCTGTGGATTCGGACGTAGTTGAGTACTTCTGGAGGACGACTCTGTAACTGGATAAGCACCGGTGGTCTTAGGAGCTGGAGCCGATGGAGCACTGCTTCTGCTGCGCGGAAGCGGGGACCTGTTGCTTCTCGGTCGCTGGGATGAAGCTGTAGTCGCTGAAGTCGCGGAAGTGGCGAGAGCTGCTGCTGCCGTGGATGAGCGATCCGACCGTGCGTCCCTTCGGGAGATCGGTGGTGGCGTCCTGGAGCGAGCTCGACTTCGGCGTTGTGGGGGCACTGACTTGGAGTAGGGGGAAGCTTTGTGGGAACGTGATCGTTCGCCCTCCGTTGTGCGGCGTGAGCTTGCCGGTGGGTTGGCCGGTGGCAGCATCTGACTGGATGGATGAGATGCCGACGATGTAGGTGTCGGAGTCGGTGCTTTAGTCGTGGTGGTCCTTGGCTTTGGCACTGGGGTGGCCTGGTTGGGAGCCGAGGGCGTTGTAGCTGGCTGTGGGGGTGTAGGACCTGATACTGCCGCTTTCTGAGCGACCGTGGGAGTGCGCGGGGTTGCCGTAGAGGTCGGTGCGGTAGCCGGAGTCGGACATGCTGTAGCTGGAGCCGTTGGGGTAGTTGGGGTAGTTGGGGTTGCTGGGCGCGCCTTCACCAGGATTCGCGGCAGTGGGCCAGCAGCCGATCCAGGCCGGGTAGGAGAAGCAGAAATAGGCACCGTTGCGACACGAGGAGCAGGGGATGGAGCCGAAGGTTTTGCGGCCATCAAGATGCCGGACGATGTGCCAGTAGTGCTGAAGGTCGGTGCCACAAGTGTACTCCTGCTCGGTGATGCTGTCTGGCTCAGTGGTGATCTGGGTGACGTAGGACCCGCTGTGTGATTGGTGGCCTTCGACATAGGGCCTGCTGAGTTCGACATCGGACCTGCGTTGGGGCGTGGCATCTGCTGCCGACAATTGCGAGCCAAGAGCAAGCTGACGGCGTCATGAGTTCTGGCCTGATGTGTCGGGTGGTCTGGTGGTTAGTCAAACAGTTTGTCTGACTGAAAGAGGTCCACGGAAACAGTCAGGGGTGCCGAAACGTCTGGGAGAAGTCCAAGCCTGTATTGAGAAGGTCAGCTGGAACAGTCAAGCGTCACGAGCGACAAGGTCCGGTAACTGTCTGTAGAAAATGTCTTTGCATGAGTCGGAACAGATGCCCACAACGGGGATCAAGACACTGACCGAAGCCCGGACGCAGTGCCTAAACACACTTGATATGAGACGGCGAAACTGCCATGGTGCACCCCCGAGCAACTGGAAAGTGAAAAGTGGAGAGTGGAGTTTCGGCTCCGAGCAAGTCAGAACATTGTTCGTCAAGCAAGCTTCCTCTTCAGGGACGCCATCACCTGCTTGACTACTACACGCCTGATCATGCCGGGAGGTGGCGTCCGACTCCAAACTCAAAAGGACAGCGGAAACCCCTTAGAAACAGGGGGGCCACACACACACACACACACGCACACTTCCAAGCCTCTTGTATGGCTCTCTGTCCAAACTCTTGGGTACTCTAGCAATGCTCTAAGAGGCTGTGGGATACGTGAGGGGCGGGGGGGGGGCCGGAAACTGTTTTATGATTTTACGGGGTAAACCACATCAGCAGTGTGGTTGTGTCTTTGAAACTGCTGGTTTCGGTTGCTTCCCGAAGGATGTCCCCTTTTTGGACACCTCATTCCTGGGTGAAGCTTTAGCTTCGGCCACTGAAACGGCCCAAACAACAATGAAGTCCAACAAAGCTCCCATCGGCCCGGGGTAACCCTGAACCAGGGAATTTGAGACGAATCTAATGCGGCAGGTCGGCGACATCCTCCGGCACAGGTCCCTTGTCAGGTTCATCCCCTGGATCACAGAATTTGAAGATGAGGGCCGTCGCAATAAAGGCGGCCCAGGTCAGAGGGAAGGCCACAATGATGCTGGTGTCCTGGGTCTTCACAATGACACGTTTGGAAGTTGTTGATGAAAAGGGACACCAAAGTTCTGTTTGATTTCCCCGAGAAATATACAGAAAATCAAGGATAACACGGAAGTTACCGAGAAGGAGCCAAAGGGTCGCAACACGTTGGACGTAGTCTTGGCCGCCTTTGTGGACCCGAAACATGTACAAAACCTGAATCAGGCGCCCATTGGAGACGCTCGACACGAAAACAATTCCAGATGAATCCAACTGAGTTCGGTAATAAAAACGGAATTCTAGGGGACACTTCCATTTCCGTTCTCTCCAGGGATCCGAATTTCTTTCCAGAAAACCATCAAAACCGCAGGCGAAACGGATCCGGTTTTTGAAACGAACGATGATAGAATGGGAAAGGAACCGATTGAACATGAGTTTGTCTCAAAATGAGGGATTCCTCAAAAAGGTGGTTTGACTGGCCCAAAAAGGGTAATTACCCGCTCACCTGGGGGAAACATCGAACAACAAGAAAAGGTGGGGTGTTATTGCAGCGCTTCATGAACAAATGAGTGCCCCTCCCGAAGGTTGTTCTTTCTGCTTTTTTTGAACGACCAACTGAAGTAAAATTGCTATTTGTCAGGGGGAAGGGTGATGTGCTTTGACCCCAAGAAATCTGAAAAATGATGCTTGAATCACGCAAAACAAGGAATATGTAAGGCTTCGCCGCAAACTTTTGTGAGCTTGTGTTTGCTGAGCGTGCCCTATCGTGGGTGGCTTCACGGAAACCGAAAGACCCCCCCAAGTCAGCCGAAGTACTTGAATTTGTCCAAGATACCCTTCATTTGGGCGGCGAAAGGCAAACAATCAACACGGTAGTTATGAAGTAATAAATAGACCAAACATTATTATATCGTATGAGCCACCTCTGTTGGGGGTTCGCTCCCCGAATCATGAGACCTCCCATTCGCTGGAGTAATTGTCCTCGGAGGTTGTGTGAGGGTACCCTTGCTCTGCTGGCTGCCACTCTAAAGTAGACCCCCCCCCACTTGTCTAGGAATTTCTATACTTCCCAATTCAACATCACCCCCCAAAAAAGGAAGCTCACTGTTCATGGGCCGGTTGTTGTTCAAAAGTCAAGTGGGAATCTGGAACTAGAAGCGGAGAATTGGTTTTTCAAGGTACCCTTGGTTTGCGAAAACAAATTCGCGAAAATACCGGAAAAACCGAAATGTGCGAAAATTCCCTGTCAAGGAAACCATGTCGAAATATGTCCCGACAAATATGTTCACATCCCTTCCCCGGTATCTCTGCTAACACTTAACAAGAGAAAATAACATATAGTCTTGAGCAAATGGAAGTTTCCGGGTACCCTATACTTGGAGTCTCCTTCTGACCCTTCAAAATGGGGTCATTGCCCAACAGAAAGGGGTCATGACCCGAAGGGTCAGAAGGAGACTCCAGGTGCCTTGAAAAACCACAAACTCAAGTACCCTCTAAAACCACCAAGGGAAAACTTAACACATCTTCCTTTCAGCAAAAATTGAAGTTTCCCGGGCACCCTGTGTATCGATAGGTGTTCTTTTTGCAAGAATAGATGGCCCTGGTAGTTGATTGAACCACCAGGTAAACCAGGGCCCTCTATGTTTCCAACAAAACCACCAAACAGAACACCTAGGTTGATATGTGTGTATCCCTTGTTTGGGGAAAACCCCAGCCCCCCGTGTTTTTGCCCCCGGACTCCCGGTCAGCCTTCGCCCCCGTCGGAGCGGCCATCATGGAGCAGTAGGGCCGCGCGGTGAGCTCCGCCATGCGCACGAAGCAGAAGCCCATGGAGGCGGAGAAACACTCCCGGAGGAACTCCTCACTTGGGGGAAGGAGTGGGGGGGTGGGGGGTGGGGTGGGGGGGGTGGAGTGGGGGGTGGAGTTGGGGGGGGTGGGTGGGGAGTGGGTGGGGGGGTGGGGGGTGGGGGGGTGGGGGGGTGGGGGAAAAAATGGAGAAAAGGGGGGCCCTGGGGGAAGGTCTGTTGATGGTTGCCTGTTATGGTTTTTATGTTCATCTCAAATCTGTGTTCCCCCTTATTCGTTTTTAAAAGAGGGTTTTTAGGGAGCTTATTTATCGTTTTCGTTAAGGTAATCAATTGGGTAAATTGTCGCCTTGTTCATTGTTGGGCTGGGGGCCGACATTTTTTTCATTTGAAGGAGTTAACCCTTTTAGTAGTTATCAAGTTCTGGGGTGTTGGTGGTGTATTTGTTTTGTTAGTATTTTTCTCAATAATTTTCTTTTATAGGTTAAAAGTTCGCTATAATTATAACATATAAGATTTTACATGTTATTATTATATTATGATTATAATTTCAGTTCAGGATAATAATTCAATTGATTTGTCTTACTTGGTTCATACACAGGACAAGGCTGACATGGAGACCTGATATCACAAGAAGAGGCGACATGTTTGTTTGTCTTGTTGCGTTTATCATAATGACGGTTTTGTCATTGGTTTGCCTTATGATGTTTGTATCATAATGACGGTTTTGTCATTGGTTTGCCTTATGATGTTTGTATCATAATGATGGTTTTGTCATTGGTTGGACAGATGATGTTTGTATCATAATGATGGTTTTGTCATTGGTTGGACAGATGATGTTTGTATCATATGATGAAACCATCATTCGGATTTCGAAGGGAAAATGAAAGAGAATGATGTTTTTATCATACCCCGATGATGTTTTTGTCATACCCCTATGATGGTTTTAACATGTTTTTCTGCACTGTTTAAACCTGACCCTAAAACAAACTAACAAATATATCACTAATCAACTCAGTAGGAATTTTGTATAACTCATCTTGTTTATGTTTGATGTATCCCTCATCCCAATCTGTTTTTTTTACCCGATGGCAACCGTTGAGCAGTTTCAACTTGTTTCCCATTCCTAATTTTCCCACAATCCCTATTACATAATGGTTTGGGTTTCCATGTTTCAATGTTAGTCCAAAGCCGTGTCCTTTTCCTATAATTCATGCCATATTTGCAATAATCCACATCATAGTAGTTTAAACCACTCATAAAGGGTTGTTCCTTCAAAAGTCCAGTTTGAGGGTTCTCTATTATCCAGTATTGACAATTGAAATACCTTATTACTTCCAACGTTTTTAAAACAATACTATTAGCGTAATCTATGTTTCTAACCCCAGTTGTTTTAGCTCTGCTGTATTCGGTGCACGGAGGAGATGCCCAAATAAAATTGAAATGGTTTCTGTCAAACTGTTTGTAGTCCCATTCAAGTATATCACAATTAATATCAGCATTTTTCAAATCCAATGATATAACATTATAACCGAGCGACTTTGCTACTTTACCAACTGAAGAAGTACCACTAAATAGTTCTAATAAGTGCATATATTATTAGAACTATTTAGATATTAATATTTTCACATACATATCGTTGATGTTTTTCAGTTCTCTCGTGTCTTCTTATATCACATTTCCTGAAAACACCACCACATTCACATTCAATAGGTTCTTTTCGTTTTTCCAATATTGTTTCTTTGTTTTGGTGGTAGTGCTCCCTACTTTTATTACATATATGTTCTTTGTTGTTTTCTGCGTATTCCTTCCTCATATTTTGATAGTGTTCCTTATTGTCTTCCTTCCACTCATTAATTGTTCTACCTGCCACACATCTATTCACACAATCATTATTTTGAATGTAATAACCTTCTCTTTTCATTAACTGTTCTCTGTTTTCACATGGGTAGTCTTCTAATAATTCAATCTTACAGTTGTCCATTCCATATTCATCAAACAACAAACGACAGTTTGTTTTATTATTCCATTGTTCTGCCTTGTTATAATTTTGTCTATGTCTTGCCATTCTTCGGCTCAAGCTTTCACAGGTGCTTCCGATGTAGCACTTATTATAACCTATATCAGTTATTTTGTAAATCTTTGCATTTCTATATTTACTGCTATCCATTAATAACCTAATGTATCTTTTCTTTAACGCAGTTTATAATGTCCATAAGGCAGTGAATTGAAAGCATCAATGTAAAACCTTTTATTTTCATAATTACTGAGTGATTGCTTGACTTGAGACATTGAAAATAATTGATGGTTGCGACTACGAATAAAATTATATGTTATTTCATGCTTTTTGTTTTGAAATAATGCTTCGTGGTAGTTTTGGTAAGTCAGTTCTTTCTTCACCTTGTGTTTCACTACACCTTTTGATTTCTTTTGTTCTTCTTCTTCACCGTGTATTGTAAAAGCATACGATTTAGGCTTTAACCCTATGAATTGTGTTATTGTTTGACCGTTGCACTCATCCTTGAAATAACCGAGTTTTTTCTTATTTGTTTTGTCATGGCAGGGGTGTTCAGGTGGATAATCGCTAAAGTCCATATATTGGTTTAATTCTTTGAAGTCCTTGTAGATGTCCTCAGTGAATGTTTGAATTACATAACTGTCAGTATCAGTATAAACCAGTTTGATGTTTTCATTGTATTTCTTCTTAAGAACATCATAGTAGAACTGATACATATGTAATTTACTGATGTCAAGGATTGTCATTCCTAAGAAAATCGGTTTGTCCAGTTTCAGCTTCGCTTTAGTTTTTTCAACTCCTACAAGGTTTTCATTAATAATAAATCTATTTTTGAATGTTGGATTATTAACACATTTTTCGTATCTAACTTCATTATCAACTAATTCAAAGTCCATATGATTTCGTTTGTCTTCCATAGTTTTTCCATACACAGAATTATTCATTAATTTGAATAAATCTTTCTCAAAATCGCTTTTGGCTTCTTTCCTTTTACCAGTGTTGAAGTCAATCCACGGTTTCAACCATGCCCTCTGTTGAAATTTTATTATCCTATGAACTTTACCCATTTTCATTCCCATTTTCAAATAATACTGTAAAGTCTTGATATGAACCACATATTTTTCTTTATCCTTTAGATTTAATATTAACTTACTCGTTTTCTCGTCCTTGGGACTTTTACCATCATAATATATTTTGAAGACTTGCTTTTGATAATCGGAAAGCATACTAACATTTACATTCATTATTTCAGGCGCTAGTGGATAGTCAGAGTGGAAGTCATGCAATGTTTCGGGATATTCCAAATCAACTTCCATAATATAACCAAACTCATCGTTTTCATTCCATTTTTCAACAATGGGAGTTTTCTTTGCCCACTTGATATTTTTTAGCGGCAACTTCTGGGACATTGCCAAACCATACAGATTGTTAGCATCCAAGTAACTAATATAATTTGATGGCTTGTTCTCATCATATGCTTCCCCCATATACTTATTATTTGCCACTGCTAATTTATGACTAACCTGACACATACCACCTCTCATTCCCTTTTCAACCATCTCAAACATTTCCTGGTCATGTAATTGTTCTATCTCAACACCAGTTTTTAGAAGCATCGCGTCCCATGCGAAATTTGGCAACGTATAATAATGAGCGGGGTCTAAACCGTAGTATTCCATACACAAGTCTCTAAAGTTTTCAAATACATCGGTCAGTAGTAAAACATCAGTTCTTAAATACAAGTCGTGATACTGCCCGAGTGTTCTAATCCCGAAGTGCTTCCATACTTTCAGTGCCCTTTCATAATCTTTATCACTTACATGTTCCTCACTTAATTTACTGTAAAACGCTTCTTTCGGTGGTAAAGCCCTTTCCTTAAATCTTTCAAAATCATCAAAGTAGTCATAGGGATAAATACCCTTATCAGTTAATAAATTCAAATCTTCATCGGTTTTAACATACGGGTTTCTAACGCTGTATCTGAAATTGTTCTTCCAATTCTCACGCTTTTTATCATCCTCATATTTACTCAACCTGACCAACTTATCCAACGAAGACGATAAGAAACTGAAACTGTCCTTGAAACAAAGATTTTTAAAACCAAAGGTTATAAACTTTTCGCTGTTCTGAGCGATACATTCTATTTTAGAATTCTTGTTCAGTTCGTGAGCCTTGTTGATGATTAAGTGAGCATCATAGTTTTTAAGGTTATGAAGAAACACAGGGATTTTATAATATCTCATACTAAATCGTAGATTGCAGTCCTCGTGGGCGCAACCTCTATACTGCCCCGTAAAGTGGCAATGGTCCCAACACTTCTTTTCTCCTTCCTCAAATTTGTTTCCGCAAATGAAGCAGTTAGTGGCATTATTGAAGTCCTCCCAGTCCTTCTCGGTTTCAATACGGTCTTTGTCCTCCTTCATTTTCTCCAAAACTTCCTCTCTGACTTTATTGATTTTCTCAACAAATTTATCCATACAATCCTGACCTCTGTATAAGTAAGGCTCACTACTTCCGGTTATAGCATTGACTACATTAATCATAAAACCACACGGACGATGATTTTGATATGATGTAGTTTTAGCTTTTGCCGATTTGCTTTTAACATCAATTGGCACAGTTAAACATTCAAAGTCGGCATAGATTACGAATGGAGCTTTAAGTTTCTTGAAATGGTTTTTGAATGCTATTGTTTCACCTTCTTTTGGCATTTCTATTTTCTGTCCCTCAACTGCTAAACATCCCTGTTCTTCGTGTTGTTTCAATAATTCTTCTGATTGAAAACCATGAGAGCAGGTTCTACAATGATACTTTTTGATTTTCTTTTTGTTAGTCTGACTACTCATTAACTTATCGTAATTTTTGATATAAGCGTAATGGGATTTAACTTCATCAGTCAATTTAATTAGATCGATTTTGTGTTGTGCTTGTGGGTTGTTGCTTCTTTTGTATAATAAAATAGTTTTACTATTCGTATCAGGGTTGATGTAATAAACATTGACGGATATGTGTTTATTATCTTCTTCAAACTGTTCTAT